GAAAGGTTTTGGGGGGTTTTCTATTTCAAGACACATGCACTTCTCCCCCCAAAGAAGGGGGAAGAAGGCGACGTTTCCGAACGTAGGAATCGACCGGGGTTGCCCCTTTGGCCTTTGAAGGGTGACTGATCCCGTTTGCTCAAAAAATCGGTTCCGGATGTGTTTTGCCCCGAAATTGAGCTTCGGAGCAACCGGCTTGTTCCTATGGGAAAGCACCAACTTGATTAGGACCGTTTTTTTGGGGGAGCTCGTTTTATAGCCCCCAGACCTGTTTTGCGCCCATGAACCAGGCAAGATGGAGTTCGCAAAGGGGTCAATGAGTCCATCCCCCCCCCATCCCGGATAAGCCCATAGGCCCGAGATTGGCCCTTAGGGCCGTTTTTTGGGGGTTCATTTGGCCTGGACTCCCCATACCCGCCACTTTGAAACCATGGCACACCATTTGTTGGTATTTACAGGAGCGCCATCATTCGATGGTTTCTGAACGGTGGTACGACATGGATTTTGCAACCATTCACAGCAGGGTTTTGTGCAGGTATGTAGCAAGGTGCCATGTTGAGATCAGCCCAGGCCGTTTTGGGGTTCAATGAGGCCTGGACCCCCCCAATAGCGAAACCCTTTTTGAGGCGCTGGAGTTGGCGAGCAATGCGCTGCAAAGTCTACGCCTCGCTGGCTGTGAGCGCCTGAAGCGCCTGGACCTCTCGGGCAACGCCTTGCGCCGGTTGCCGGACCTGAGCCGAAAGCCGCTGAGGGAGCTGCAGGCGTCGGTGGCCCCGACCTGCCGGCTCAAAATGGTTTCCTCTTGAAAACCACGACAAAAGGGGTATCCTAAAAGAAGACACACCCAAATCGAGCCAGGCAACCCGCAGGTTTGAGTCTACCTTCCATTCAGGGGCCTCTATGTTTGAGCCACACCCAAATATCCAGATGGTCCTGTTGGTAATTTGGGGCGTGGGGACATTTGTGGCACCCTCAAGTTTGCATTCTTTAAGTTAATTAAGCGGCCTGATTCGGCCTAAACAAGGCCACGATTGGAAGTCTTAAAAAAGGCTTGTGCATGGAACTTGTAATTTCCAATCAGAGGAAAAACAATAACGATTGCCAATTTGCCCGTTTGCCCATTCAGAATCTTCTGAAATCATGTCATTTCCAATCAGAGAGCCGTTTTTGCCTATTTGTGTCCAATAATCATAGCGCCTATTTGGTTGCGTCCAAGGAGCGTTTCGCCTCGCTCAGGCGTCCAAGAACCAGCTGCAGCAGGTGAGCCTGGAGGCGGCAAATGGAGTGGGATGGATTTGCCTGAGGGAGACGTGGACCAAGGGCGTCACCGAGCCCTTTGTTCAACTTCTGGGGATCAGTCTCCTTTTTCTCCCTGGTTTGGGCGATTCTCAAATTGGCACATGGGTATGTGTGTGAGTGTGTGTGTGCTTGTTTGTTTGAGTTTGTACCCTTTTGGGCGTGGCTTCACAGTGACACAGAAGGGAATACAAAAAACAAACCATGTTGGGGCAAATGCCTTGTCGCTTCCCTGGTTGCTCGAGTTCTCTTTTTTCCAAGGGAAATTCACTGGGCTTATGAGCTTCCCTTTGAAATCCAACTGAACAGGTGTTGCCAAGCCACTTGCTATGAGGGGCCAAACGATCGGTGGAATCGCTCGACAAGAATTTTGGCAGATCATGAGCCATGAGCAAAGCTCCTACGTGTGTGGTCACGGTTCCCTTAGTGAGAGCCCTTACAAAAGCCGTGTAAGTTTAGTGTGTGAGGGTCCCCATAGCTCCACTGGACCCAAGAAGAGCTTGTCACCATGGCATGGTACGCTTGTTGAGCTCCAGGTGGTGCATGAAGCGTACTTGCTTAGGAGGATGCTCCAAGCTCAGCCGGGGAAACTAGATGGAGCTTTGGGGTGGGGCTGTCATCAAATTTGTTTGCGTCCTGACAGTCCGAGGGGCGATCTTGGCCTTGGATCCATGTGTGCCAATCTCGCGAAAGCGTTCGGGTTAGAATCCAGTGGTTGTCCAGGGCGCTTGGCCCAACTACCAAGCGCCTGGGGCCCAAAAGAGTCTACGATCCTTTGGGCGCCTCTTAGGGGATCCCAGCACGGAAGGGCTAACGGCTCAACTCCTTGGCTTCAAAGGTGGTGTACCAGGCAACTCAGGGCCACCGTTACAGACCCTGTATCCACTTGGTCACGGTTGCGCTGGTCGCCTGTTATCAAACACTGTTTTTGTCATATATTTTTCTCAAGTGCCACTTTTACTCATATCGACTCAGCGCAACCGTGTCCAACTCGGGGTGGGGGGGGGGATGGGGGGTGGGGGGGGGGATGATTACAATCGTTCCCTGCGGTTCTTTTCATGGCTTCGTAAGGATTTCTGCTGACCCTGGCCCAGTTGAGTCCTGGGAAGATGTACAGACCAGTGGCTTGTTGAATTGTGTCAGCAAACGTGCTGTTTCTGGCATGATCGTGCATTGTGTTGGCCAAAGGCAGCTCGCATCCTGAAAGTGAAAACTTTCAGGTGAGCCACCAACGAAAGAATTCTGCAGACACTTAGATGATGTCAGAAGTTCCAAGTTGATGGAACTCAATCAATTGATCGTGAATGGCAGTCATTGAAAGCTTTCTTACCTCCGCAGCTCCACCAATGTTGGTGTGACAATAGTTCGGATGTTAATGTTCATTTGAAACAAAGAACTTACCAATTCGTGTGGAGACAAAGTTTGGGTAATGCTTCGTTGGGGCATTGGCGAAATTGTTGCGCAGTTCGCCGAACGAAGTAGTTTGCAGGTTGATTCCTGCCACGCTGCGAGCGAAATGAGCAAAAGCCCAACGTTTTTGACACTGACTCCTCCGACAACACCAGGCGACTAGCGCAACCGTGATCATCTAGTTGATCAACGTCACACATTTCCTCCCTATCACTCCATCCGGAAGGTATGGCTTACAGACACCAAGTTGAGATTTGCGTTTTGCTGGGTCGATTTCCCATTTGAGGCACCCGCCAAATTTGATTCCCTTTCCATTTTCTGGGGAACCAATGACATGTTTCTCAGACCATTTTGAGGCATTTGCCGCATGGCTGTGGCTCAAACAAATGTACCCTAAATGGCAACATTGGTAAATGGAACCGAACCAAATGGAAAGAACACCCGCTGAGGTGCATCCGCTCAGCACTGCACACACGCATGCCAATTGGAAAGAACACCCGCTGAGGTGCATCCGCTCAGCACTGCACACACGCATGCCAAATGGTAAGAACACCCGCTGAAGTGCACCCGCTTTGCGCTGCACACACGCATGCCAAATGGTAACAACACTCCCGGAAGTGCACCCGCTTTGCGCTGCCAAATGGAAAGAACATGTGCACCCGCTTTGCGCTGCACGCACGCGTGCCAAATGGTAAGAACACCCGCGCAAGCGCACCCGCTCAAGCGAAACAACAAACAACGCAGTCCACGAAGGCGGTGGATTTCAAGTTCCACTGGGATAGGACATGTCTCCAGCTCTGGCAGCCCACGTCTCCCTGCCATGTGTCCTGACTACAACAAAAGATGCGCGGCGTTGCTCTGAAATGAGTTAGTTACCTGGATGTTCAAAGACCCACAAAGATGCACGTTTGTCAAACTGCCTGAGAATCCAAGCACAAAAACAAAAAACACAAAAACGCGCGGGTGGGTATGTACCCGGCGCGCACTAAAAGGGGACACCCCCCTACTAATCAACCAGGGGTTTATTAATCCGGGGTTCACATAGAATGGAAGCGGAACAGGCGCGGTCGGCTTCCGTGCACGTGCAGGGCTGCGCCAGCTTGGTGCTGCTGGACCTGTCAGCGAACCAGCTGCAGCAGCTGGCTTTGCCTTCGATGCCAAGCCTCGACTCTTTGAACGTCTCAGGGAACCAGCTGAAGGAGACGTCTTTTTGCCCTTGGTGCCGTTTGTCGTTTTTTTTTGGTGGCTTTAGTTTTTGGTTGAGTTTTTGCCAAGTTCTTTTGTGTTTTTGGAGTCACTGTCTCTGGCTCGCGCTCTCTCTCTCTCTCTCTTTTTCTTCTCTCTCTCTCTCTCTTTTTCTTCTCTCTCTCTCTCTCGCTCTCTCGCTCCAGCTCTTTTGGTCTTGCGAGCTTGTTCGCACTCACGATTCTGTCAGAATGTCTTCTCTGTTCATGGTTCAAGGAGAAGCGCGGTGGCTGTTTGCTTTTATTCCCGTATGCCAGTGAACCAATCGCATCCAACCACGAGGCACTCAAACAATTCGAAAGAGATCAATTGCAGTGAATTGCCGGGTTCCTCTGCTTGCAATGTTTAGGGCATCTATATGCCGTATCTCAGTTCTTGGCCGAAATTGCCTAATGTTCACCGAATTGGTTGGGAGTCCTGGCATGCTATCTTTGTTCTTGATTATGCAGTTCGTATTTGGGCTTCTCTGGTTCTGCTTGTTTTTTGGTGGGAACTTCAATCCAAAATGGCGTTGGATGGTGGAAAAAGAGTCTCCAAAGGAGGGTCAACTGGGACTCGTGGGTGAAGCAACACCCTTTTTCCGTCACTAAAAGCATTGAGCTTTCCACACGAGTTATCGAAACCAGGGGATCTCCCTTTTTTTAGACCCCAAGATGACATGTGTTGTTAGGGGCGTCCCCATTGGGTAAAGATCGTTTTTCACCAACTTCTCCTTTGTTTTGGAAACACGTTTTCCATGACAAATACAAACAAAACAGGTGTCCTTTTCCATGAACATGTTTTACATGTTTTGGTCTGTGGTTGACACCATACCCGTTTTACTGTTCCAACGGCCGGCGAAGGGCAGGTCACGACACAGCAACAGCTCAGCCTTCTTCGCCAATCCGATCCAGGTTTTGGGTGTGGTGGCAGTATTTGCGTGGTCTTTTGGCTCTCGTTGCGAGCGACAGGTATGGGTTCTTGGGCCAATCCTGGGGTTGCAGCCTGTTGGCTGCGGGGCAGTTCCCGGAGGTTCAGCGTAGGTTCCAGGAAAGTATCTCCACAAGTCCGCTTCATCCGGGCCAAGCCGACTTGGGTGACCCTTGGACTCACATGATGCGCAAGTGCCCGTGAAGCTGACGCGAGGACTTGGACTTGGGGCCGTTGCCCAAGCTGACGGTGCTCATGGCAGACGCTCGCATGCAGCTCGGTGCCGTTTTCCTCACCAGAACCTGTCCATTTGTTCGAGGAAGGATATTCCCCCCCCCCCCCCACAAAAAAAATGGAGTTAAGAAAATAGACAAACATCGATACATTGTGGGTCTTCCTCTCTTGTTTTTCTCCGTCAGAACCACCAGAACAGGGGGGGGTACCCTCAAACGAGGGAGACGCCTTTTGCCGGGCCTTGCGCCAGGTCTCAGGCTTCTTTTGGCGGATTCCGCGGAGTTTTGCCTCTTGTTTTTTTGTTTTCTTTTTCTTTCTTTTTTCTGGGGTCGCTGGTTGCACTGCTGATTTTGGGACCTGGGATTCCCTTCGGGCCAGGAGAGCAACAAGCTGCGGGCCTTCCCGGCGGCGGTGCCGAGTTTAGTCCCGCGCCTCAGCACGCTGGACCTGTCCAACAACGACATCTCTCAGGTCCCTCCTGAGCTGGGCCTGGTGAAGGACTGCGAGGGGTGAAGAGTGAAGACGGGTGGGGGAGGGGGTGGGGGGGAGGGGGTGGGGGGTTGGACGGCTTCTCCTGGATTCGGCCAAAAAAGGCTTATGGGTTTCGAGCTAGGGTAAAGGAGCTCACGATGTCCTTTTCTTGGATCCAATTCTGATTTCGGGTGTTGGAATTATTGGAGAACTGGCGGATAAACGTGTTTGCAACAATTGGGAGAAGTTTTAAACTGCGGCACGAGATGGGTTCTTGCGGTCTCCCTTGGCCAAACGCCCGTTTGGGGGCGGTTACTGAGGCTTTGGTTGGAGCCCATCCCCGATAAACCGTGGGGTTGTGCATGGGTTGTCAAACTAGGGATTTGGACCCGTGCGATGGGTCGGTCGGTTTCGAAACCGTTAAACCAACCTGAAAAGGGGAAGTCTCAGGGTGGTAGCTGACATTTTTTGCGACCCGAGACTTGATCTTGTTTCCCAGGTTGGTGTCCCTTGCGTTTGTGGAAAAGCCAACCCTTCCAGTTGGTATTTCAAGGGTTTCCTGAAAAGGAAAAGAAGCAGACGGACTCAAACCAACCATCTGTGGGGCCCATTTGGGTCTGTCTCAAAATCAGGGGCACCTTCTAAATTGGGTCGTTTTCCCTTGATTTCTCACAAAATGATACCCAAAAAACGGGCACCCTCGAGAAAAGACGGGCGCCGCCCACGTTAGAAACGGCCCCAGGACCTCACGCGCCTGGCGCTGGCGGGGAACCCCATCCGCACCATCCGCCCGGAGCTTCTGCGAGGCGGATGGGGGGAGGGTTTGTTTCTTGCTGGTGCGATAAGTAGGGAATGAGAAATGGAATGAACCCAGGCTTTGGTCCCCTATTAAAGGAAACCACCAGTTGGATGGTTTATAGGGGTCGCACCAGCAAGGAATGAGAAATGGAACGACCCCGATCTAAACCATCCAACTGGTGGTTTCCTTTCATAGGGGACCAAAGCCTGGGTTCATTCCTTTTCTCATTCCCTACTTATCGCACCAGCAAGTTTTTGAGTGTTTCTCAAAATTGAGGACTTTTCGAGATCGGTGCTTTCCTTTTGCCCGCAAAAAACCACCCCAAAAGGGGTCCCCTATGTTGAGAAACCCCTTAAAAGGTGCCATCTGGAGCCTCCAGACCTGTTTTCTATTTTTTGGGTAGACTAGATGTGAAGCAGCATCTGAAGGTTTTTTTCCAATGTTGGGCATGTGGCAAATTGGGGTTGAGGTCTATCTTCCCTGAGTGACTTTGTGGCAAAAACAGAAAGGGTGCTTGCGAACCACAGCTGAGCAACCAAAACACGGACGAGCGACAGTTGCGGCCTTTCAATTCTTGCATTGGTGTGGGTAGACCCGTTTGGTACCAAGGTTTGATTATGACTCAGCTAGGTTCCTCTTTTGCTGGTTTACATGTAATGCATTTGATTTTTTTTTCTCGGAATTTGCGGATTCCCTTGAAGGGACTGAAACCAAAGAACGTTTGGCTGACCATGTTGGAACGGTGCGATGCGGGTCTGTCTTCTGGTAATTTCCCTCAAAACATACAAAGGATACCCTCAAAGAAGATAGCATGGTCAAAGCTCCATTTCACCTGGGGCTGGCAGGGCGGGATGGTCATCAAGCCCGTTTTTGGGATTGTGGACAGCCATTGTAAGGGTTCCCATTGAGGGGGCCCAGACCATGGCCCACATTTGGGGAGTTTTGACGATGGCAGGTACTTGGTGAATATCGTTGATTAGAAATAGTCCGGTAGGGTTTGACTTACAACCCACTTGAGGTCATGAACCACTTCCTCCTGGGGCTGGTCATCCAAGTGGGTAGCATATTGACTCTGGCCAAGCTTGCGGTAGTCCATGCTCCATTTCATTCGCACGGGGCATGGGGGGACTCGCTAAATCAAGGGCATTTCCAGGTAAGTAAGGTTTCTGGAGGTATGGATGCTTATATACTATGTATATAATTATACATATATATATATATAGATATACATATATCACCAATACAAGCTTGTAATGCAGCAGGGTTGTGCCTTATTTACATGGCATTATTTTATGTGACCTCCCAAACCCAAACTCCTGCAACTGCCCTTGGCTACATGCCTCCTTTGAACCGCAGGTTGTTCTAGGGGCACCTGCCCCTCTCCGGTCCTTAGCAAACCTCCGGCCAGGAGGCGCCGAGGCGCTGAAGAAGTTCCTCCGGTCGCGGCTGGCGGATGCGGACGAAGGCACGAAGAGGGGGGGGGTGATGCGTGCGGGCCCCTTTGGGGGGCGTGCATTCCGGTAGTCTAGGGTCCATTTGGGAGGGACATGCGGGGACTGACGGACTCATTCAATGTCATTGTTGGTGAGTTTCTTTGTAGAAATCCCCCCAATTGTTTTGGACACCCATGTGCCAGTGTGGTTTGCATTTGTTTTGTCTGTTGGGTTTCGGGCAAAGCGTGGCAATGGCGAAATTGTAAAAAATGTGGCAGGGTGAAAGTGGATGGCGATCTCCAGACGTGGGTGAGGAAAGGTGCTGACTAAACCAAAGTGCTGGTCTACTTCACGCGTTGGGTACCTGCCAACAGTTGCCTGTCATGTCCTCCTTTGTCCCTGTGCCATGGACATGAGGTTTTTTTTTCAAAAGCGCCAACCCTTCAAGAAGGCAAAGCTCTTCGTTGAGAGCAGCCGTTGCTTTAAAGAGACACCAACAGGAACCCCATCATTTTGGGAGTCCCCAATTTGGTACAGACCCATGTAAGGAAGGCAGGAGGCGTGCGGGCACGGCACACCGCTCAAGCGAAGGAGCAGGAGAGTTCGCTGCGGGCAACATCACGGTTTGTGCCTTTTGAAGTGAGTTGAGGAGGAATTATGGGTAGGTGTCAACACAGCGGGATCTCCACAGTGGTAATTTTTGCGTTGGTTTCCCCTTGAATAGGAAATATAGGGAGTGTGTCTCAAAGTCGTGAGGCGTCGAAATTCACTGCTTCCCCCATCTTGTTTTCTCAAGCCAACCTCAAAAAGGGGCTGCCTCGCAACGCGTCACCAAGCCCTTGGCTCTTTTTTTGAGGGTTTGTTCCCAAAAAGCACCCCCTGAGCTCCAAGCCACCGCAAAAGCCAAGGCGAGCCGGTTCCGCGCGGCGGCGGCGCGTGCGGCGCGGACCTCACGGCGGAGCTGCGGGAGGCAAAGGCCACGGGGCAGCTGCTGCTGCCGCGGCGGGGTTTGACGCAGCTGCCGGAGCTGCCGGGGAAGCTGACGCCCGGCTGGTTGGGGTGGTTTGGGTGGTTTGGGTGTGGCCTGGGTGGTTTGGGTGGTTTGGGTTTGGTGGTTTGGAGGTTTGGAGGTTTGGAGGTTTGGAGGTTTGGTGGTTTGGAAGGGTTGCTTTCATGTACCCTCAAGAACCAAGGGGCTGGTGTGGGTTTTCACCATTGGTATGTGTCAAAGGGGGACCCCGAAATGGGTGGATTCCCTTTAGTTTCTCGTTCAAGCCCCGAAAGGTTTGCCGCCGCAACTGGGATTTGCCTGTGACTCAAGGAAGGTGCTGGACGTCTCGGGGAACGCCCTTGCAGCCCGGCGAAGGGCGATTCACTCCGTGTGCGGCTTCTGTGTCGGGCCTTTAAAACGGGTTGGCATTGTATGACGTGTCCAAACCCAACATTGAAACTTTTGAATCTTCAGTTGCCTTTTGCGTGGCTGGCCATGTACAACCCCTAGACACAAATTGGCCCCCCCAGGAACCTTTTCCCCTTGCACTCGAACCGAAGTGGAGCGAGCCCGAAGCCCTTTGGAGCGCTCCCCTTTTTGAAGAAATCGAGAGGGGCGAGGGGTTCAAAGGTTGTTCTATTTCCCAAACACCACCAAAAAGTAGAATCTGGATCCTTAGGAAATGGAGTGCACCCCACAATCAAAATCAAGCACGCTGAAGATTGAGCGCCGATTCTCTTCACCCCCGCAAATGGCGCCAAACGGAATGGCATGTCCCCGAATCATTCCGAAACAAGAAGTGGGTAAACAGGGAGCCAACGGGTATGAACGAGTTGAGGGGGTTATGTACTTCCACTCTTGGTTTGGTGGGAGATTGGCAAACCTCTCGTGGGCGTGGCTTGAAACAAACCAAATAATCAAGTGTCTGTGTCAGGTCCTTTGGTCCGATATTGATTCAGAGCCCATAGCGAGGGAAGCCATAGGGGAAGGACCCTCAATGGTCCTTACTGGCTTCCAATGGCAATGGGAGCCATTAAGGACCATTAAGGGTCAGACTTTTGGCTCCCCTTGCTATGGCTTTGAATCTGCATGTGATTTGGAGAGGGATGTTTGCCGGTTGGACATCTAGTTGGAACCCTGTACAATGGCAAGCCCCGTTTTCGTTAGGGGCATTCTTGCCACCAACTGGAAGCTGCAAAGATCTCCCTAACTTCCCAGAGACAAGTCAGGAGCCAGACATCTTTCTCCGCAGGCTTTCGAAGGTCTTCTTGGCCGACCGGTTTGGTTCAAAGGATCAGGTCAACCCAAGGTGTATGTCCCCGGGTATATCCAAACCATGCGGCCAAGTGGGTGGAAACCCCAGAAAACTCGTCGCCGGTCGCCGCCTAGGGCCCACAGGCACTTGAGCGCCTGGAGGTGGCGCGCCTGGTGCTGAGGGACAATGCCTTGGAAGGCCTGGAGGTGGCCGGTCTGCTGAGCCCAGTGCTCCAGGCGATGGGTTGGGCTATCTTTGTATCTCCCTGGCAAAATCTCACACCGTTTGTTCCTACGCTCCAATTTTAGGGGATGCAGGGGAACGGTTCAAGATTGTGGGGCCACCGAGGTTCTGAGGTGGTGGGTCTCTTTCTTCAAGCCAAGGATCCAAAAAGGGTTTCCTGATTTGAAGCGATTGAAAGTTCGTAGTCCTCCACTCATGAAGCCTCTTCTCTGCCCCCCACCCCCGAAATGGATCCGTTTTTGTTTTTGGTTTTCTCTCCTAGAACTGTTTTATACTAGGCCTGGGTTGGTTGGTTGGTTGGTTAGTTGGTTGGTTGGCTAGTTGGTTGGTTGGTTGGTTGGTTGGTTGTTTGCTTGGTTGGTTGGTTGGTTGTTTGCTTGCTTGGTTGGTTGGTTGGTTGGTTGGTTGGCTTGCCGCATCCCCGGCATCACCAGCCTCACTGGGCTTGCCTATTGTCTCTGATTGGGAGGCAGTTGGGAGTTGGTGGGGGCTGGTTTATGTTGGGGTTGGTTTAGGCTGGCTTAGATCTTCATGAGGGTGGGTCTTTGGGGTGGTTTGGGGTTGATTTAGGCGAAGCGAAGGCTGTTGGGCGGGTTTAGGGTTGACGATCTGGGGTTGGCTTGGAGCTGATTTGAGTTGGGTGTGCTGCTGGCTAAGCAGTTGCTTCAGGGATGTGGTTGCTTGAGTTTCGGGTCTCGTTTAGGATTGTGGAGCGTTGCTCCAAACCACCTGCAACCGGGTTCGCGTCGCTGTTCTCCAGGAGTTGGACCTCAGCCGCTGCGGCCTGCGCTCCCTGGGCGCCAGCTTCGCGAGAAGCGGCGGTTTCGTCTCTGCGCCGGCGCTGGGCTTCGCGGATTTCTCGGGCAACGACCTGGGCGCGGCGCCTGCCGCGCTGGCGGCGCTGCTGAGGGCGGCGCCCAAGCTGCGGGAGTTGCGCCTGGGGAACTGCAGGCGCGAGAGTGGGGGGGGGGGAAGACACATATTTTTGGATCCCATTTAGGGTCGCTCGAATTGTTGGAAGCTTCTTGGTTGGAGGGTTTTGCTTGGTTTTGGGAGGGCTTGTATGATGTATTTTCCAGCAGTTGGAATGCTTTTAGTGGGTTGCGGTTAAATTTGTAAATACTGGATAGCTTGGGAGCTGGCTTCGGCAGGAGGAGTTGAGTCTTACGCGCAGATTCTGAGAGGCGACCGGCTAGCTTCTCCATTGTACGGCTGTGGGGCTGTGTTGATTTCCCAACCCTTTGGAGGGGCCCATTTGCAGACGGGTTTGTCTCCAGAAAGCGGAATCACAAATGGGCCCCCCTACCAACAAGGTCTTCCTGTTTTCTTTCGGGTCCTCTTTAAATTGTGTTTTTGATTCCCCTAACAGGCTTTCCCTCTCACCATCAGAACCGAGAACTCCTAGCAGTCAACAGGAAAAGATCAGGTAAGCCTTAGTTGGTGGTTTGGATCGGTGGTTCAGGGATTTCAACCTACCCTTGACCACCAAACCCCGTAGGGGCAGGCTGAAACGAGGGGTTGCTCTAAGCTGCAGTAGGCGGAGGCCGAAGAAGCCAATGGAAAGAACAAGAATGACCCCACGTTCCCTTTACCACCGCCAAAACAGGCAACATAGCCCGCTGGGTTCCTTTGCAACTTAAACAACCATCAAGAACAAGAGCAAAGCAAACCTCAATGGTAAAACAAACACACACACACACCAAAAAACAAAAGAAAACATGGTACACACCACCCAATTTCCACGAACACAGTTGTAAGCAGCACTGCGTTTTTCTCACTTTTCCGAGCCCCAAGCAGTTGGAGGCTCACTTCGCTGGATGCCTGGGAGGATTCGGGCCACCCGCTGAGTACCCTGGATCTCGAGGGCAACCGCTTGGCTGCCGTGCCACCCTGGCTGCCGCAGGTGTCCGGAAGTGGGCTGGGGTCTGTGTCTCCCCCATTCCTTCGGGGGTCTCCTCCCATTTTTTAGATTGTACGGTCTGCCTGACATGTAAAATCAGTTTTTGGTTTCGCATGGGAAGAGTGTATACAGGATTAAGAACATATTTGTTTTACCCGAACTCTCGGGCCAAGTCTTGAGGGTACCTGTTTTAGGCAGTTTTGAAGAGGACATCAACATGAAACTAAACTAAGCGTTTTGGGGGGGGGGGGGAATTCTGAGACACCACCAAATGGCATTTTTCCGTTTTTTCTTCTTTGTTTTCATTTGCTTGTGAAACAATGCTAGGGGCCAGGCTAGGGGTGTTAGTCACTATTTTCGCAAGGGCAAGGTGGCAACTATTTTCCGGTGGTAATTACACCTTCAGGCAGGCATGTTTTTTCTACAAGTTTTTGGTTTCAGTTGGAATTCCACTTGCTTTGATTCCCAAGTGGGAATCCATGTTTTCAGTAACAAAGCAGTCAACTGCATGAGAACCATCCACTTTGATATTGCAGATTTGCGGGCAACCAGACCCGGAGTTTCTGAGCCTCTAAGTCACGCCAAGTCGGGGGAGGGGGGGGGGGGGTTGGCAAAACTGTCAACGGGGTAGAATATGCCTGGTCGAACCTACCTCGAAGCTTTTGGGGGACACTGGGTAGATGCCAACTCTAGCTAGTCAAAGTTAGATCATGTTAGATCCGTTTCGGGTTGGATGTCCCTGGCAATCAGCATGATGCAACTCACCAATCTTCATACCTCTAAAGGAAAATGGGACTTTACACCATGTCCGCTCAGAAGGTTTTGGCGATAGTTGACAAACAACGCTGTGCAAGTGCTGCACAAGTGCATGAGCCTTAGGGAATATGTAGATACATGCGCTGTGTGAGTGCTTGCAAAACAGCTTTTGACTAATCCAGGGTTTTCTGTCCATGAAGATCTTCCTTTGCATGACAATTCTCTGGTACAGGTGGGCGAAACGTGCCGTAATTTTCATGCTCTTTTACTTACCCACGTGGTGCGTGGAGGGAAGTCTGCCAGGTCTTTCCGCAGCTCCATTCCCTTGTGCTGGCGAACAACGAACTGGGCGCTTTGCCCGTGGAGATGGGCTTTTGGCCAAGCCTCCAGGCGCTTTTAACCCGGTGGGCCGTGTGGCGAGCCCTGTGTTTTGTTCTTGGGAGTGCAAGTCTCTAGCGGTTGATCTTCAATTCTTTTGTGATTTGTGGACAAGAGCGGATCCATGGAAAGAATGGGGGAAGTATGGCTGGAAAGTTGCGAGCGGCTATCCAGACTTGGCAGGGCCCAACTTGAAATCTAAGACTGCTAGGTTTGGCAGCCAGCCTTTTTTGGCTTGGGTGTGAGCATGTGTCTTCTTGGGTCCAATGCCCAGTCAAGAATGCAGAAGCGCTGGATTGCCTTGCAGGTGTCTTTTTGGATGGGGGAATAAACTTGCCGAACTTTGACTAGATTCAGGAGATGAAGCAAGGTTTCCGGAATGCCCCGCTCCCCCAAAACTAGAACCTGAAAATATGATGGGTTTGCCAGCAGCACTGGAGATATGGCTATCAGGGAACGCCTTCTCCCACGTGCTTGGACATAGATTCCCATGCAAATGAGATCCACCAAAGCGGTCACTAATCAATATTCATACCCACAGTATAAGCCGTAGTCAGCTCGAAGCAAGTTTCGTGTGTGACACACGTTGACCGTTCGGCCGAGAGAAACATGTGACCCCAGGTTCGAAAACCTGGATGAGCAATGTTGACTCATGATTAGTAAAACCCACCAGATCTCGATCAGTGGGGTCCCCCTGGAAGAAAGGATCCCCCACTAGGGGAGGGTCGGCATTTGGTGGGTCTTCCTGCCCCAAAAGGGAAGGATCGACTCCGAAAGCAGGACACCCCTCTAAATTGGCACACCCCGCCTCTCTTGTTCAACCAGCGGCTAATAAATGTTAGGCGCCCGTGCAGATGGTGTTACTTGCCAGAATAGGTGGTTTCCTTTTGGGGTCCCTTAAGCCAGCCAACACACCCACACCAGGGTACGCTCAACAGATGCAAGGCGTTCAACCCTTTTGAGACATACCCTTTTGTTGTACCAGGGATTTCACGGGTTGTGAGCGTGAGGGCTTTCCCACAGAAGAGTGGGCAATTTCCACAACCCTGGATCCTTTGGCGTTTGCAAGCTTCCCTGGAGTTGTTTCAATCTGTAGACTTCAGACTATTTGATGGAAGCGATGGGGCATAGTTCAGGTAAATACACATCATGATGCCACCTGCTTCCATTTCAGATGGTTTAACACCAGCATTTGGCCAGAACATCAGTTTCGAGTTGGACGATGCTTCAAGGAAGCTCAACCCCCGTCTCCGGGGGTCAAAGAACTCGCTCCCCGCCCGACAAAAATCGAGAACCCGCAGGTGGTGTCCCTGGCAGGGAACCCCTTGAAGGCCATGCGCCAGTCCCTGCTGCAGCGGGGCTGGCCCCAAGTGGCCGCCTACCTCCGCGACAAGGCGCCGCCCGCGCCGCCCGCGCCCGCGCCGCCCGCCCCTGCGGCAGTGGAGGCTTGGGGCGGGGCTCAGAGACAGAGACGGAGACTCACCGGCCGACTGACTGACCGACTGGATGACCACAGACAGGGAAATTCTTTCGGTTGACTCAAATGACACCAGCCGCCTGGAGGAATTGGTTCCTCAAGTTTGAGAGACAGCACATTTGTGCACTGTCATACAAGTCCATTTACTTGGTTTCCAGGGATGGCCATCAAGCAACTTTAGACGACCATGGAAAGTTTTGGGGTCACAACATATGTTCCATCAAAGAGGGGGTCACACGGCAAACCCTAGTTTCAGTTGTCTGCTTTGAGGTGCCCATGGGTTCAGAACTTCATGTTGAGATCAGCTCAAGTGTTACAAGTGGATTGCTTTGCCAAGGCCCCGCGAAAAGGGGAGTCTCTAATTTCAGGGGACACATACACCGTAGCATAACATCGTATGTTCTATTCGTTTAGTATGCATGCTTGGTACTGGCAACCTATCAAGTCCGGAGGGCAGTTGGGGGCTGAAGTGGGGACAGGGGTCTTCTAAACTCGGAATTGGGCCCCAAAAGGGTTGCATTGGGGAAATACCCTTATTGAGGCACGACGGGCAGCTAAACGTACAGAACAAGTAAAGCATGAGCAGCATGTGGTCAAATTGGAAGACAGGCCAAGTGGGCACAAAGGGTTCTATTGTCGATTCCTCGGTTGCCAAGCGGAGGGAAGAATAGGTGGAATCCACCAAAGGTCATCCGAACCACAAGAAGCAAACCACGCCCATTTTCCTTTTTTTGGGAAGGATTCCGTTAAAACTAACCAACAAGGAAACGGGTCCCCTGTTTCTCGTTTCTCGCATGGCCTCTGGGCTTCTGAATGGGAGCCAGCGTTTTGCGCTCCGCAAGGCTGTGGGAGCCTACGATGCGCCGCCTCGCGCGCCCCCGTTTCCGTGCCAGCCTGAAAGCGGGGGGGGAAGCGGCGCGGCGCGAAAGGAATGCCCGCTTCTTGGGGCACAAAATTGGGGTGCCCCCTGTTGGATGGTGGGAAGCACTCATTGATGCACCACGCCAAACTTCGCTTGTCTAGAGAGGTGCATGGATCACCTTTTTTGCATGCGGCTTCATGCTCGAGATGCCTGCGGTCTTGCGAGCGTTGTCACGAGGTCGGGCATTGAAGAAGCCCGCGACGACCAGTTGAGCAAACTGCGACAAGGACGTGTGAGTGTTGAGAAAGCCCCATGTTGATTCGCGGCAATCTCCAGTCTTCTATGTTTCTCCCCCATGTCATGCCCTTGACTGCAGTAGATGCCACTGAAACTTGTTGATTTCCTCATTTGTCTTTGACTCAGGTCCTGCTCAGGCGCAGATTGAACATGGGTCAACAGCGCTTGGATTTTTCCCGGGGCAAGTTACATCTTGGCTAGACAGCGTGTGTTGAGTGTTATTATCTCAGCTAAATCTCCGGGCTCCGGTTGGACCCGGGACTGCCAGGGGTCCGACAGCCTGCAACCCCGAGATAGGCTGGATTCCCAAAGGCAAACAAGCCAACAAAGAGCACATTGCGTAGGGTTTGCCTTCCTTCCCTATGTGCAATATTTCGCGGATCTACAGTAGGGCTGCAAGCAGACAGGGGCGAAGATCAGGTCACCCTTACTTGGCGATTCGTTGTAGTTAAAGGATTTGAGCCCCTTCCTTTTGAAACCAAGTGGCAAGACCCTTTCCCTCCCCAAACACTATCCAAACCATCCAGCCACCATTGCCCGCCCAAATGCCGGTGCGTGAGCTGATGCGCTTTTTAAAGAGCTGCACGGCTTGGCCTGCCACCACAGTCGATGACCTTCCACTCCCAACTCCATGGTCGAAGGTGCCATGGTCGACTTTGCATTCCAATTAACATCTCAACAATATAGTAACTGCTGGGCCGCAACAAAAACCCGGGCAAGTGAAGGTAAGTGGGGACAGTCCCTCTTGTTTCTGTACATGGGCGACTTTAATACGTGAATACAAAAGGATTAGGTGATACTTTAATACTTTGATACTTTAAAAATGATACTTTTCATTCGTTACATGGTTTTGATTGAATCGTGGAGGTTTTCCGGACAGCTTCAGGAGTCGCGGCGCTAGAGGACGAGATGGCGCAGCCGGGCCTGGGCAGGCAGCGCGTGTCTGTGCTGCCGCTTTGGCCAAGGAAGTACGAAGTGACGTGTTCGATGTTTGTTTTCTTGCTGAAGGGTGGGCGGTGGCGGCATATATGTGAACTACCAAGCTTTTTGGAATCAAGGGGTTCGAGATCAATCAACATGCAAGAAAATATTTATTCAGTTATTTTGTTAAGCAAAAAACAAACTAAACTGGAGCCAATAGACCAAACCAGGGGCTGCCGGGATTTCCCAATCAAAATTCAATATCAATTTTCGGGTGGTTAGTTTCCATCGAAGCTGCCAATTTTGGAGGTTTCAGAAAAGGGAAATGGAGGAAATACACCGGCAACTCCTTTCAATATGTGGAGCCAGAGCTGGTCATGCGCGACCCACTCCCTTCGGAAGAAGTTTGGAGAAGCCATAGTTGAAGAAGCATCATGCATTGACACTTGAAGCATCGCTTGTCTTAGCGCTTGCCATGAGATGACTCGACAATTCCGGCGCCGGTGCCTTCTTTGTCTCGGTTCAACGCCCGGGCGTGGGGGGGGTGCACGGGATTTTCTCGAGTTTCTGTTTGGGGAGATGCTTCGGGCACGAGCGTCCTTAGAAAAGAACCGCTCCAAACCAATGGCATGTCTCAAACAAGGGCTCTGGACCCCCCAAAATGGCTGGCTTTTCCCTTGGGTTTTCCCCTCGAAGCCGATGGGGGGTCGCGTTGCTTGTTTTCGCGGAAGCAAAGGACGCACAGCCTTCGCATGAAGCGCGCCGAGCTGCTGAAGGCTGAGAAAGCCGCCGAGCGGCGGCGAGAGATGGACGCCCAGTGACCTTGCTGCTTCGATCGCCGGGGAATCAGTGGGAATGACCCCCATAAACCGGCCCACACGGTTTCCGTTACGGGAATCCCTAGGTTCACTCCCAGAACCCTGAAATTTTCTCTGCTGAGCACCAGCCAGCGAAGCCAGGGTTCCATGAACTACAAAGACTGAACCCCAAAGGTTCCCCTGAAACATCAGCCACCCCGGATTCGGTTGCAGTGTACCTTGAGGTCAACAAACGGAACCCATGGCACCGCGACCTCACAAAGTGGAGGTTGCGACACGAACCCTTGGGGTTGGTGAATTGGCACGCGTGGCCGGCCAAATAGTGCGCGTGGGGAGGTGTCACTGCATGCATGGTGCCTCACAAAGGCGGGGTCTGTGGTCGTGGCCCAGGTTTGACAACCATAGTGGGCCCAAGCAGACAACTGGTCTTTGGTGAGTCGGGAAAGAGCCCCTAAGATTGTTGGGCACTTGCAAGTGGTGATTGATCACCAGAAGAGCCCACCGCTGTTTCGAGAATGAGGTTGGAATTTGCGAGCACTTCTGTGATACAGTTGGGAAACCATTCTTCTGCAAGTGAACAATGCAGTACGAAGGCTTCGCCATTTTTTCCCGGCGGTTTTGGATGGTTTCAAAGGAAAGCTGCATGACAACTCGGTTCACAGGAAACCCTGGGTAGGAACCTAGTGGTATCAGCAACAAATCTGGGTCTAAAGATTGACCCCATTACCCTTCGTTTGATAGTTGGTACGGTGGATCCCTTTGTTCTTGCAAGTAAAGCAACCAGAAACTGCAGGCATTTACTGGGTTTCCCCTGCTCCCTTGCACCAGGGCATTTACTGCTTGGTAGGCCCTCTGTGAATGAAGCATTTTTTGGGACGGCCACGGAGGCAAGTCTTCTCGATCGCCGCGAGTCGCAGGAGACGCGGCTCGGGCGCTTCGATATGTGGGCTGCAGGGGTTGGCTGCTGCAGGCCGGGCTTGTCAGCGAGAGTATATCGCCGGATGTACCCACGTCGCGGAAGCTTGATGCTTGAGGGTACTGTAGCTCAAAAAGAAAGGGGCCAAAACCGGATTTTTGGACTCCTTAAAAGGGCGTTTCCGAAGATACGTTTTCTATGGGCACGCCGTGAACTCATAAGCCTTGGTCACGATACCCCGGGTGGTGTCCACGTCTGCGGGGGATACTTCTTCTTTTGGGAAGTGCCGCCCTCCGGCTGCCTTGGGACCACTTTCTGCAGTTGCCCCACCCTCCCAAATTCACTGCGAATGATCCAGGAAGGGGCCAGTTTGGGGTTCATTTGTCGGGGGTATACGTGTGTGTGTGTGTGTGTGTGTGCGTGTGGAGAATTGAGATGTGGGTTGTCACTTGTGATATACGTTCGGGAAGCCCCTTTGAATTGCTACAGTAGTCTTCCGGATGAGAATCAACCACCTTGTTGTCACAGCAATGGTTATTTTCCACTGAACGGCAAACTGCGTACAAGGCCGGCAATGCTGGGTCTACCATGGTGTAGCACAGGGTTTCCTTGTGTCAGTTACAACATCTCCTTTACCAGCTGATTCGAGGATTGTTAAGGCAGGTGCTTTGTTTGTTGCATTCCTCTAGCCTGTTCCACAAGCGGCGACTTCCCGTTTGGCTTCGCGCAGTCCGGGGCAGAGCAACTTCCACTGCGGGGACTTTGCGAACGTGCGGGCGAAGGAGGGCTTGAGGCTTGCGGGTGGGACCTCCATAAGGAAAGCGATTTCAGGCACGTTGACGCCCCCCCCCCCTCCCCCCATTTTTTCTTCTTTTTTTTTTTTTTTTGGGGGGGGGGTGGTTCTACAGTTGAACAAAAAGGAGACCGCACATTTTGGAGTGGGCACCCCGATCTTGACACTGCCCTGCCTTTGCCCTTTTTTTGTTTCTCTGCGGTTTTGTTGTCACGAGTGGTAAAAAGAGTGGGACCCCAATTTCCTCCAAGAATCGAAGGTATTTCGAGCTAGTGGCACCTGATTCGCAGATGGTCGCATGGGGTAGTCTCTTTGCTTACAGCCCTCCCTGCGTGACAAAGGGGCTTGCTCAAGAGGCCAGAGATCAGATCAAGCTTGCCCACTTAAGGAACATGTCAAGCAACAAAGACAAGCATGGCGATGTCCCAATCGTTGAGACGTTCTGTTTCCTGAGCCGCAAAGGTTGCATCTGTTTTTCTTGCTGAAGAAAACTGAACATCGCCTGCCCAAGGGACTTGCCGCACAGTGCCTGATGGAATCTCAGAGCGATGGTCAAGGCTCTTGGGTAGGAAGGGATTGAGACGGCCCGGCAAAGGCTTCCTGGTGAGGCAGCTATGACGGCCTAGATCTCATGGCTCGGTAGCATGGCGCGACGCCCACCCGGAGATCCGTTTTTGTTGGGTGTTGGCAGGAGGGTCACGGGATGAAGCACATTCTCCAAATCCCAGGTTGGAGGCTGCTTCCAATCACAGGGGTTGGGTTACAGTTTGTCTAATCGGGGTGGTCAGGCACTCCTTGTAGATCGCCCTTGAGTAATTGACCCCTTTCCAGAGCGTTCGGTTGTTCATGCCATATCCAGAACAGGCATCGCTTCATTATGAAATGGGTTGGCAACCAGGGAATAAGTTTGGCTAGACCATCCACCAGATCAGGACGTTTAGGGAAACCCGAGCCAGGCTGGTGGACGATAGTCAGCTTCACTACTTCCAGCTCGCCGTGCAGCAGGCTGAGGCCAGCTATGACACGTTTCGTAGACGTTACCTCGTGTGGGCAAGAAGCCTGAAGCCACGAAATCGGTTTGGTGTTTGGAGGCAGCCGTGACTAGAACTGAAATTCATTTTTCCCGGTGTTGATGGGGCCAAGAAATCGAGCTTGACATGAGCGAAAGTGAAGTGATTTACGCCTTGTGCTGAATTCCAACCTGCAATGGGAATAGGAATAGGACCACGACAGAAGTGACTGGAGGTCTTCCTTTGGGATCTCAGGTTTGTTCCGCAGCATTCCACGGGGAATCCTTTTCCAATGTTGGTTGATACCTCCGTTGCACGAAGCATTTTTTTTGCCTGCGCTTTCCGGCATCACATAGATCCCACTATGTAAAACAGCACATTCTCGGTTTAAAGATAAACTTAAGGCCACCCTATTTTGGTACGTGCCACAATGTAGACCAAAGGCAGGCTAAAGCCTGTCTGAGCGATAAACTTCCAGTTTTGTTTTGACCTGACGCGACTCCAAGGGAAAGCAACTTTAGCCAAGGGTGGTACGCTGGATGCCCGACATATTGCAAGGGAACAGGGGACACCCTGTAAACTCCCATTGTTTGTGGTTGATTTACTTGCAATATCAAGGGCATCCACCGTAGAGATGGTCATCAACCCTTGATCTTGACACAACCAGGATCCGTGACCATGGACCATTGCAAGGCGTTTGATCCATGGCGCATGCGGTTCCCTCCGTTCTCCTGAGATGATCTTTGTTGTATCTGCTTGGTTGTAGAAGGGTGCTTTATTCTTGGAGACAGACTCAGGATGTTTAAAAGGATACAGGTCGCTTGCCCTCGAAAACACGCCCAAAAGACGGACATGCCATCAGGCCATATCTTGATTGCTATGGGTTGGATCATAGAAACTTTAGCTTTTTGGGAAATCAAGGGGGTTTCCACTAAACCCACAAAAGCTTAAACACTTTTAGTAGAGGGGGCGTTGCAGCAACCATGTGGGAAGCGTTTTTCCAGGCGGCATACAACCTCGAGATGGGCCAGCCCATGTTCTTCACCTGGGTGGAGGCGGGCAGAGGGACCAAAACCTCTTCGTGTCTCGTAAGGGGACACCAGGGTCCCAAAGAGTCATTGATTTTTGGCACATGCGTGTCTCTATGGTGGAGGGTACCCTTCTTGGGGCTAGGAGAGAATCCAACCCGCATCCTTTCCTGGGACTCGTTTGGAGACAAACCCACTTGCTTTGAAACTCCTGAACTAGACCTCACTGAAGATGGTGGCGATTTCCTGGCGGTGTCCCTTCAACCGCGGTTCGTAGCCCAGGTCAGATCTCATTAGGGGGGCACTTTTGGGTGGTCCTTTTGGCATAGCAAAAGGGGCAGATTGAATCCAGCGGGGGGGTTGCCAGGATGCTGAGGGGACGCTGGGAAGCTTCTTCAACCTAGCGCCGCTGGGCAGAGACAGAGAGAGAGAGAGAGAGAAAGAGAGAGAGAGAGAGAGAGAGCGAGCTGTGCTGGCAGTCCCATGGCTGTCAAGGGCTCCCCAACAGTGCAATCTAAGTGCAAGGGGCCATCATGGGCCCCAACAGACCTCATCAGGCACCGTCAGGAACGAGTGCCTATTGCTATTGGATTGGTGGGGTGGGGGCAACACAAATGATATTCAAGGGTTTGGATTCTCGACCTCAGCTATTTGGGTGAGTTTTCGACTGGCCCACGTGTATCCTGAAAACTTGCCACGTTTCAAGAAGAAAGGGCTCAAGATGGTTAGGACACTGGCCCAATTTCCTGGGATACCCAGCATGGGGATGGCACACGTTGGTATCACAGCAAGAGTTGTTGGCCGCAACCATGATTCAAGTTGCGCCCCGGCGCCATGTATATTCGCACCTTTCTTCCGGCAGCCTTTCCGGGGACGCAAGAGGAGGGAGGCTGCTTCAAAGCCATGATGTATGGGGTATGCTTTTGCATGTGTCGAGGGTACCCTTTGTGGTGTTGTTTCAAAGGGAGCGAAAGGGACGCCAAAGCCCGTTTTGGGGGTTCTCCCATTTGAGACAAACCCACAATTAGGTGTCCCAATGATGGTTGGATCTTCTTTTGGATGGGTTAAAACGGAAGCCAAAAGGAAACCAACCACCCAGATGGGTTTCCCTTGCATCTTGAGAAGCACTCACACCCATTTCGGCCAGCCTCTTGTCTTTTGCTTCCTCTTTCTTTTTTGGCTCTCTCTCTCTCTCTCTCTCTCTTTTTCTTCGTGTCTCTGCGTCGCATATCAAATTGCCCTTTGCGTGGTGATGTTTCGGGCGCAAGGGATGCTCGCGCTTCCCAGCCAAAGACGGGAGTCGGCTTTCGAATCCGAGGTTCAAGAACTTCATCGTCGCCAACGTGTTCCATATGGGATTCAACACGGTCTGCCTGGCTCTCAGCTTTCCGCATTTCAGGTCGAGGTGCCGTAGCACAGAGTTGTTGATCATGCTCCCGCAACATACGCGCGAAGATGGGATTTCGAGCTCTGATCTTCCATGTGCTGCCGCTGGTGGGAGGGTAGGGGAAAACGCCCCACATCCCAACAATTCCAAAACCCTAAAACTCCAATCCAAAAACCGCACGCCGTCGCCCGTTTCAGGCCGCACGCTTTCGCTTTTGGGTCGCTCGCCTTTTTACGCGTGTCCTCCTTAGAAAACAAGCTAAGAAAGCTGCCAAAAAAGATTCCCTGCAACCTGTCCCTACAGCTCAATACGCCAACAAACACCAATACCCAGAAACAACCAAGGGACCCTAACACCCCAACAAATCCCAAACGCCAGAAATCCCAAACAAACTAAGAGACCCTAACACCCCAACAGATGCGAACACCCACCCACTTAGTTTGGGTCGTTAAATCCTCCACCGGCCCCCAGGCGTGTTCGCCTTCGTGGCGCTCTTCGCGGGCTCCGAGAAGGAGATATGTTGTGGATCGCGGGAATTTGTTCGTCTGTGGGCCGGCCCCCTGTGGGAGATGTGTTTTTTTGTTCTTCTTCTTTTTTTGTGTGCAGCGTTGTGTGGAGACACCATCTGACCATCTTTCTTTTGTTGGTTCCTTTGGCTCCAGTCTGAGGTTTCTGGCCTTGCAGCGTGGAATTACACGCCGTTGTTGTGGTTTCTTTCCTTTTTCTAGGGCAATTTGCAGCTGGGTTGTCTGGAGTGTGGAGCTCAGAAAAGCCGCTTTGATGCCAACGCTTTCCCGCGCCAATCGCTTCACCTTTTGTAATTTGCTCGGGCATGCCTCGGCGGAGCAACTCCGCGCTTTTCTGAACCGAGAGCCCAACAGTGCCCGCCGCAATTCCTCGCCGGCCTTTGGCTCGGTCGCCCTGGAGGTTGAGGCCTTGCTTTTTCCCCGGTAGGTCCTTTGGGGACGGGGCGAGGCCCCATCCGGGGCTTGCGGGCGTGAGCCTCAGTGGGAGTGGCGGGACACATGGGTCTGTCCTTTTTTTGAGTACCCTTGTGTCGGTTTTCAAGGAAACCGAGGGGTCCCCCCAAAAAATGGCCGCCCACATGGGTTTGATTTTTGGATGCCCTTCCAAGTTGGTTGGAAATCCGTATGTACTTTCTGTCTGCCAAAAGGGTCGTTGCCCTTTTGGCATCGGATCCCAAGCCCCCCCCTTTTCCCCGCCCATTCCTGTCGGGCTTTCTTTTGACCTGGCTATGGTAAAGCAAAGGCACACAAACCCGTCGCTTGCAAGCCATGAAGGTCTGCTTGGACAGACTCGACCATTTTGCCCCTCAAATGGCTTCCGTTCGGGAAGCTCGGGGCAGCGTTTGACTTTGCTCTCCAAGTCCGGTTTGGGTACGGGTCTGTCTCAAAGCAACCTCTTTTCGGCGGGCTCTGAAGGGAAACCAAAACGAAGCCAGCCACCTACAGTTTTTTTCTTCTAATTTCCAAACCAACCATACAATGACCAACATCCACTGCAAGGTTTTCCAAGAAGTTGGTCATGGGAAGCCTCTTTGTCAGGGCATGATGAAACCCGGGGGTCGAAGCCCACATTAAAGGCCCCGCTTGCCTTTGCTGGGGTTCCCCTTTTCACCATGGATTACAAGGGCAAGCCACCATTGTGGGGGGCCCAATCGACTACACACCCATTTGGTGTGTCTCAATATAGGCTTCCCCCCAACATGGTGGTTCTCCTTTTGGCTTTCCCTCGAAACCAACCAACCTTTCTTGCACGCTCCAAAAGCGACACACCCATTTTCACTCCTGGCCTCAGGCGGCGAGCTCCGTGGCCATGGGTGAGGCGACGATGCTCCCGGAGGAGGCGAGCCGAAAGTAGAGCCATAGGAGCCATTGAAATCTTTCTATGTGTTTTGTGCTTGTTGTTTTGATGGGGTGCCACAAACATGGATCACAGTAGATCGCTGTTTGGGGCTGGGAGCGGTACCGATACTGTGTGCCAAATTCTCAAAACGGGTTGGTTGAGCCGGAGCTCTCTGGAGGGTGCGACATCCTTGTTGGTTTCCCTTAACATCTTTGGCTTTGAAAGCCAGAGCATGTGCGGAGAGCATGGCGAAAGCTGTCCTTTCTTCTTTGGGGTTGTTTTAGTGGCATTCCGACTTGTTCCAAGCCGACATCTTTGCAGTTTCTTCTCTTAAGGTCTTGGTATGGTTCTTTAACCTTTGGTTTTTTCTCCTTTCTGCTCACTTGAACAAAGCTTTTTGCCTACCTAGCGTGGGTTGGGACGTTTTATGAATTCGCACTTGTCCACATCCGACCTTTTGACCTTTCAGTTCCCTGGTCGGTGCTAGCCTTCCAGCACCAAAGGGTTGGCCGCTCGGTTTTGGTGCAGGTCAGCTTCAAGGGAGCTGCAAGTAACATCTGGATAGTTGTTTAAGGGACAACCCTACAAGGCTCAGACATCCGCCCTGACGACCCTGGCTTTTGATTGCATGCGCTTAAGACAAGGTCTGAAAGTTGTGCCTTGGGTGGCTCCAGGCAGCCGCTCCGCGCAAAAAAACCCGTAGGGCCCGCGGATCCAGCTTCGCGGGCCATCCTGGGCCAGATGTCTCCCATGTCCAACATGGCCATGGGGTGAACATCCCGGTTCGCCCCTAGTGAACCTCCGATTCCATCCCCACAAAAATAGGTTCGAAAATGGGTGGTGCACCTAGCCCAAAATGGTACTGTTGGTTTTGACCCACAGCCACATGGCTTTGATCTTGAAAGGCAGTCTCTACTTCACAGGAGGTCTTTGGACGAGCAGCTTTTTCTTTGGATCTGAATGGTTCATGCGTTCCCACAGACATGGAGGTGTACAGACTTATTTTGGAAGACCGAGCCGGGCCTTGGCAAGTTATCCGGTCTGCCAGGGATATGACCTTTCAGCACACATGTTTGGCTTGAGCAATGAATAACCTGCGACTTCTGAGAGCCTTGGCCTAAAAACCAACAAAGAAACGCAACTTGGAAACCGCTCTTCAAACATGACAGGCATGGCAGACACCTTTCCGACCTTGCAGCAAAAGAGGGCAATTGGGGCAGTTTCCAACTCCGCGAGGCTGCGGTTAAAGAAACAATAACACACCCCTGGCTCTTGAGCTTTGAGCCATACCCATCCATCTACCCCAAATGGATTGCCCAACATGGAATCCACCAAATGTCTGGTCCCTTCCCTCGGCATTGAAGGGGCGCTTGCTGTGTGGTTTTCCTTTGAATCACACCCAAAACGGGTACCTTTCACAAAAGACAGGGTCCTCAAGGGTGAGTTCCGCCTTTTGTCCCTCGTTTGGTTGTTGGTAGGCTTAACAATTGACCGATTCACAATCCCCTTCAGAACCGAACGGCGGCGGCCACGTGCCAGGCTGAAAGATAGATAACGGAACTCCCTTCTGTTGGGAAGTAGAGATGCCTAAGCCAAATTTGCAAGTTGTGCCATCTGCTTTCTCCCAACTCTATAGTGACAGGTCTCGGAGAAGCATGTGCCCCTGAACGTCGGCATGAAGTTGGCGAGCAAGTACATCGCCGACCAGGCAGAATCCGGAATCGATCGAACTTGTCTAGGGCCCCATTTGGCAGGGGACCCTACCCTGATAAATGGGTTTCAGCCTCAGCTTGTGCCAAAGAGCACCGAAGGACAATCATGTGTGTAGCATCCAGCAACCCATTTGTCAGAGCCCATTTGTCGCGGGTCACCTATTTTTGAGAGACATAATCGAAGAGCCCCACACCGCAGAAAGCTTGCAAGTCCCCTTCGATCAGACCCGAAGGGCTTTTTTCTGGATGGGCATTCCTTTTGACATCTATCCAACAAACGGGCCGAGTCCAATTCTCACTGCGGGGTCCCACTCCAAACTGCTTTGTTGGCCTCCATTTTACCTCGCAGGGCCCATGTCACAGGTTCTTTCGCTTGCGATGGAAGTCCCACGAGTTGGTGGCTGGAACTATCCACAGCCGAGGGTTTGTTTCTTGCACGACTCGACGGCTTTGTCGGGGAACTGGAGGTTGCGAAGTTTTTCCCCAACAGCTGAAAGCTTTGGGGTCTCAGCCCAGATAGGCTCTGGGGTGGTCCGGGGCGGCCCTGAGGTAAGGTTCCACGAGGGTTCCACCAGGGTTCCACGAGGGTTCCACCAGGGTTCCACCAGGGTTCCACCAGGGTTCCACCAGGGTTCCACCAGGATTCCACCAGGGTTCCACCAGGGTTCCACCAGGGTTCCACCAGGTTCCACGAGGTTCTGCGAGGGCTGCGGGGTGGTGTGAGCACTAAAAAAAGCACCGCATGCTGTTGGGGATATCACCTGAGCTTATTGTTTTATTTGGAGGCCAAAAAACCGCCAGCGGCCTTGTGTCCCTTGGAGCTTGCGGTGCCCTAAGTACCTGGGTGAGCAGCGCTCAAGCCTCCAAACGCGGCCATTTTAGTTGCTGGATCTACCTGGCTTATACTGAAGCCACAGATTTCTTGTTTTCGAACTGGGGGCAACCAGCAGTAGGTCCACTCAGGAAAAGGTACCCTCGAACATGATTAGGTATATCCGCAAGTTTCCAGCACTGAAAGATTCTGATCTCAGGTTGTCAACTGAGGAGAGACACTGGGCCTCCCCCTAGAAACCTGCCGAAAGTTTTTCAGAATTGATCAGACGCCCTTCTAAGCTTCAAGAACCAGGCGTGTTGGCCGATTGTGTTTGGGCCCTGGCGGGGCCTATGGCGCTTACTCTGCAGATTAACATGGACACCAAAAATCATAAATCCAACATGGATAACAATTCATAGATCATTTTGCGTGTCAGAGTTCAACAACCTTCGACCCCTAGAGGCTCATAGAGACTGATGGTTCTAGCGGAACCTTTCGGCGAGTAACCCCCTTCTCGGTGCTGGAGTGGAACATTGCACATGAGATGCTTAGAACATCCCGCCTTTTCATTGGTCTACAAGAGCGCAGTGCCCATGCCCAACACCAAATTCGTGGGGTCCCCCGGCGCCTCTGCCTGGTGTTCTTCCCGAATTCGAGCTCGCCAGATGCTTGAGCAGAGACACCTGAAAGTGCTGCACAAGACCCTGTCCACCGCCTGGAACAGGACAGGGTAGTAGCACTTGTTTGGGACCCCTTGATTTTGTTCGTTGGGGTCTTGGGGTCTCTTGTGTTCTGCGAAAGCAGCTGTGTCAAGAGTGCGGTGGGGGTCAAATTGCCTTTTTTGGGGTGGCAATGACTTGGCGGTTTGGACTTGGGGGCTTAGAGTCAATTGGGGGCCACCCCGAGCTTCAAACAAACCTATGAGATCAACCAGCACAAAGCGCAAACCACTTGTTTGGGCATTTCTTTGCAAATGTCCAGTCCCTTTGGGGTCAGAATCAGGGGTTCTTTGGAGTTCGGTAGAACATGAAAGGACACGTGCAGCATGTCTTTTGAGTGTCACCAAAGTCGCTAAAATGCCGCCAGCTGAAGGTTTCGTGATTCTCCGGACTCGCCCAGAAAGGGCTGGGACAAACTCGCAACTCGTGGGGGCTGACAAGTTACGGGGAACTGCCGAGGAGGGGTTTTCTTCGGCTTCACCAGTTGCCCAAGAGAAACTCTGGGAACGATTAGCAACGAACTCATACAGTGGACCACCCAGATTCCAACCACTTCGTGTCAGGTGCACTTTCGCCGGGCTGAGCGGTCAATGGGGTTGAAGGGTATATGAGAGATGCCGACTTCCGCGTCGCCCTGATCCCGGGGGAGTACAAGGGGCACTTCCGATCTTGAACCACGAGACCTGGGCAGATCTTGCCGTTCCTTTCCGCACCATCCCCAGGTTCCCAAGTGCACCTGGAACATTTGGAACCTCGTCGGATTCCACGTTTCTGGGCGTGTCTCTTATCGCCCGGGTGATGATGTCGTGTTTTTTGGCAGGTACATCTTGGAACGGTTGGTTTCGGCCAGGAACGGCCAGACTCAGTCCTTGTCTGCGGCCTTCGCCCTCATGCAGCAGCCGCGCCCTTAGATCTCGGATCTGAGTTGGTTTCTTCAGTGATAGAACTTCTGCTACAGACCACCGCCCCGAAACACCCCCAAATGGCTTATTCTTTTTTCTTTTTCTCCGGGGAGTGTGTTCGGGGGAAGCAAGAAGAACCGTGGTTCAAGGGAACCCCCCCCCCCCCCAATGGACTTGAGCTTCCATTTGATTTTCCCTAGCGCCCCCCCAAAAGAGTATCCTCAAAAACGATACACCCCTCTTTTTGGCAACCTATTTGGGGGGGGTGGACCTTCTTGTTTGGAGATGCTTTCGAGTTTGAGGCCCTGATCCTTGACAGAAGGAGCCAATTTCCGTGAGCTCAGCTGAGAGCCTTGCCATTCGCTGCGAAGGGACCCTCTTCGGCCGTGGCGTCGCCTTTGATAAAGGCCAAGGAAGGATCCAACGCGAACCCCCTCAGTGATTGGTACATGACTCCCCACCGAACTTTGTCCACCAAGGGTTTCCAATGAACATTCACACCCAAACTTGGGTCTCTAGAGCAATGGACATCTCCATGTTGCTGGGTGCAAAGAGAACCAATCGCGAAAACCGTGGACAGAACCCGCTTCGCGCCCAACTGCTCACCTGCAAGCCCAAGGCAAATCGACCATTTGACCTTTGGGTTTCCCTGTTTTGGGCCCATATCTTGTCAACGTTCAGGGTGAACTGTTTTTCCCTTTTTCCGGTGTTTTGGGCAAGTAAGACGGGTGCTTTTGGGTGCTTCGCGCCACCGGCGCCACCAGCGGCCGGAGGTATGGCGTGGAGCTCACAGAAGAAGAGGTGCAAAGGATCACCGCCATGGAGGAGGACCGTTTGTTGCTTGAAGGGTCTACTTAGTTCCATTGAACAGGTGGAAAGTTTTCATGGGAAACAGGACAAGAGGCAATGTTTGTTGGGCACATACCCAAAGTTGTTGATGTGTTACACTCCTGGGATTTAGCTTGCCTAGGTTTGGCAGGTTGTGTTTTTGAAGCATGCGCATTGATGGCTGCATGGTTCAAGGCAGCCGAGGCATTGCGAGTGTCTCCTGTGCCTGTTATCCAAATTGCAGAATCGGAGTCGCGTGTTCCAGGCGTGCTTGCAATTGCGGCACCTTGCGCTGCTTCAAAGATCCTTTGCTTGATGGCGCAGCAGATGTGCTTGATTGGGACTCGCGCTGCCGCCAGCTTACTTGCATTCTGGATCCCTTCAGCTTTGGTTGGTGTCTGCGCAGGTAGCCTTCTCTAAGAAAAAGAAATGGTTTATCCGCTCTTGCTGAGCTTTTCAATAGTGTGAGAAGGTATGTTCTGGCCGCCATGTTGAAGGTTCCTCATTTCCAGTTTTCCAAGTTTGAAACTCAGGCTACTCAATCCGGAGCATCAACCAGGGATGGTCCCCCCCATGTTTGAAAGCATCCACGTTGACACGACCCATGTGTGTCGTGTTGATTCAGGATGCATCACCCCCTTGAGCCACAGAAAGGTTCAGCCCATTTAAGAGGGCATCCTCCTTATTCTGACAACTGCATGAGTGTAGTGCAGTCAAACTCTGAAGCGAACCAACTGGCTGCTCCCTAGGACCAGCAGATCGCGGCCCTGGCGTGGAGCTTGGAGGGATCTCTCAACTTCGGGGGTCCTCGCTCGCTGGAGGAAAACAACGGCAAATCCCTATGGGAGAGGCCCAGCTTGGATTGGGCCGTTCCAGAGCTGGGGGGATCCCAAATTTTCGCATAAGAGGGAGGGAGCTTTCCGGAGCTACCCGGAGTTCTTTGACGTGGTCATTTTTTATTTTTTTTTATCTCTATATATATATATATATAATGAGGGGGGGAATTTGTCTTCCGCCTTTGCAGCAACCAAGCAACATCTCAGCAACTTGATTGAACATGAATAAGCTCCAAGAGGAACGTGGCGGCCTTGGATCCCATGGCCGCTGGCCGAGCCAAACCGCTTTGGATCTCTACGTTTCCGCTCAAGGATGGGCCAGATGTTTACAGCATGGCAATTGGAGATGGAGCTTCCCTCAACTTGGGAAAGATGACCCTCGCTTGGTTTCCCATTTTTTGCTCCACAATGGCATTCCTTGTCTCTACAGCTTCCACTCCCTTGCGGGAACTTTGGGGAATGAAGGATATATGATATGAATACTTCACCCTCAAGTTTGAAGGTCTACACATGCCTCAATTTTTCCCGGGGCCCCCGGCTGGTTTGAGGGGACTCGACAGCGCCGGCTTCCGGGCCTCCCGAGGTGAACCGGATGCCGCAGGAGTCCAACGAACAGTTCCAGCAGTTCTTCCTTCAGCTTCAGGCGGATCTTTTCGAGCGGTTGCTCGGCCAGTGGCTGCATGTGGATGGACGAAATCCATTTCGCACCACTTTGCAACTATGGGAAGCCACTGTCTGTTGGATTTTACAGGGGAATCATCGTTCCAGGCTTTCTTTAGGCGGTGCAGGATGTCGTCTATCCACCGTAGATCTGTCCTTTTTTAGGTTAGGTTGGTTGGACATAGATGGGCTCCACTGATTTGGATGGGTTTTATGCCGCATTTGTCAGGGCCATCTCTATTATTGTTAAGTAAAAGGACACCTATGCAAGTGAGTGCGTGTCTTCTTTGAGGGTAGTCTTGTTGTGCTGCCTGGACTCTCTCTCCCGAACAGAGCGGCCGCCTCCAGCCTACACGAATTGACTGTTCGGGTGATTCTGTCGGGACTTTCTGGCAGTCAAGGGCGTTTGAACAAATGCGAGCGCAACAAACGCGAAATGCACGAATTGGCGTCAGAACGGCTTTGGCACCGGGGCTGAGAGCGTTTTTGTATTCGCGATGACGACTTTCTCAGCAGACACACTTTGCAGCGACAATTGATGTATAAATGATTGTATCAATGCAGGGTCCGCTTGTTTGAAATGGAAGCCAAGACAAAACCGCAGCCTATTTTGGTTTCCCCGATTTGGAGACGTTTGAGTGCCTTTTTGCAACACCAAGCGAGATTACGCGGGTCTCACTCCAAAAAGATGCCACTTGTGGCGGAAATAGAGGGAGCCCTGGAATCTACTCACCACGACTGGTCATTGGTCATTGCAGAGAGCTTTTTCGGCTTTCTCAACGGCCTTGTTACACTTTCTGCCTTTCTACGGCTTGCCAGCGGCCGCAGAAAATCATGAAACGCCGCGAAGCAAGGGCCGTACACAACCCGTAGAAAGGCCGGAAAGAAAAGGCAACAACAAAACACGTAACACTTGTAAATGATCTGTCCGGCATTTGCTGTCACCAAACGACTTTGGTAAACCAGGCTTTTGGAGTTGTCGACTTACTTGCAGGATGTGGAGTCCAAAAGGGATGTCACATTTAGGGAAAGCTTAATGGCCTGTTTTCAGAAATCAAGCGAGCATCGCATGCTCAGAAATCCCATCCTATTTTTGGGTTTCTTTATTGTCCTAGTCGGCCGCCGCTCTTTGGTTACACGCAGTCATGAGCAATGTTTTTGCTTGGACTTTGGTGATTGCGGGCCTCTTGGTCGATCCCCGTCTGCAACCCCGCAGGTTTTCTGGACAGAAGGATTAGGAAAGCATGTTGAAAACGCCTCCTGTCCCACCAACCTTTTTCTATTTTACCCATTCTGTCCCACCAACCCGTATACCCATTTGGCCCATTTGAACATAAGTGGGGGAAATTCGCCTTCCTTCCACCGCGGCTCCATCCTCATCGGACCTCGGACGTCGGACGGCTCGCTTCAGCTCCTGGTCTCCACGGCCATGCGGGTGCGCGACGGCTTGGAGGAGGGCGCGCCCAACAAGGCGCCGGAGCGAGCGCTACAGCGCTGCCGGGTGGGCTCGGGGGCGGCTTGCGGCGAAGTTTCTCTCGGGGCAAAAATTTTTGCAGGACGCGTGGTCTCTCTCTGGGATGGTTTTGGGATGACCGAAAAAGGGGGGCTTGAGATGTGATTTGAGCCATGGTGGCATGTTGGGTATTTGCTTTTCCAGAAGCGTGCGACTTAAGGATGACCGAGGGGAGGGGGGAGGGGGGGAGGGTTGCGCTCGATTTGAGCAGTGAAGGCATTTTTATAGGAAGCCCAAAAGTTTGGTTGTGAAAGCCGGGGGAGGACTGGACTGGGGAGGACTTGGGACTTGGGACTTGGGTGATAGGGCCCAGATGCTCGAGCCACAATCAACACTTGGATTACTATCGTACAATTATCAAAGTCACCTTTCGCGTGGCGGCTTTATGGTAAACAACCAACAAATTTCTGACGTTGATTAGCCCTGGAAGCAATCAGCATCACGGGCCCCGAATTTCAATGTGTTGGTGGACACAAATCCGACCATCTTGATGTGCACCAAAGAGGGTTCCATCAGGGTTGCCAAAAGGGTGTTTCCCAGCTGATTTCGAACACTCTGCGCAGACTCCTTTGTGAATCAGGACATTGTGGGACGTATCTTTTTCGGAATTCTGTCCATGTCCACTCAACATGGCAATGGGCAACTTGGCATTAGGGCTTCCCCTCTTTGAAGCGATGAAGTAGACCACGGGATGTCCTACTGTGTTATCGCAGATTGATGTTTCACAACCACGCCCTGCTTAACAGTCCCTACTTTCAGGCAAGCCCCAATCTTCGGTTTGCTCCGCCCCCGCCCCCTTCATTTAAAAACAAGTCGAGTGTCTACTTTTTGGTTGGAAAGCCCCACAATAAGCTTTGTTGATATGGGTTGATATGGGTATGGGTCAAAATTAAGCGCCCAGGGGACCACAGGTTTTAGTCGATGTTTCCATTTACCAGGGTTCCATTTTGGGGTTACCCTATTGTTTTGCTGCTCGCTTCTGATTCGCCTCGGCGCAAAGGTGGAGAGCGCCCTGGACGATGCCGACAGCACCGGGGTGACGCAGCACATCCTCAGGCGGGCGGCGGGACGGCTAAGGGGGCATCGCGAGGGTCTCCTTTTGGTTTCCCTCGAAAGCCCATTGGGTTTGTCTCCAAAGGGGTTCCCAATTCTGGCATGCTCTCTTTTGGTTTCCTTTGGTTGCCCTTGGACTCGTAGGGGTTTCCTTGAACGCCGGCTTAAATATTACTTGTGGACCCGTTGTGTTTGAGGTTCCTCTGGGTGTTTTGTTTCCAGTACAGTGGAGACTTGAGTGCTCATTTGATTGCTCATTTGATTGATTGCTTTTGAGTGCCGGTTTCTCCTTGAACCATGTAGCTTGGGTAAATTCGATGCCAACTTTCTGGACGCTGTTGAAAGGTTGAAAGGAAGCTCTTCTGCCCACAGCAGAACGCATGGCATAGTCAAAAGACCCACCGACTTGGTCGCTAGGGATGGTCGTGGACCTTGTAGCATATTTCGACACTCATAGTATATAAGGATTCCTATTGAAGAAACCATTCCATGGCTGTGGCCGCAAGAGTTCGACTCCGACACATGCACCATTTTCTTTGCGAATGGCGCTTTCAGGCAATTCTTCCTACATGGCCTTGCACAGACCCGCATTACCACATTCTTTGCTGAGAACCAGGAGGGCATATGCGTGTCCTTTTTTGAAGGTTCGCTTTGTGAAGCGGCTTTCCCCTGTTAATAAGCCAGAGAAAAGATACCCATGTCGGGGTTCCCTTCTGAAGGTACGGATGCCAAATATGGGTGTGTTCACAAGTGGACCCCCTAGAAACACCCGACGCACTCCACTCTCAAACAACACACAACACACACACACACCCATATGAAGCAAGTTGGGAAGGGAACCTTTTGAAGTATTTAACCCCCCAGAACAGGTACCTTCCCGACAAACATGGCCTCCGTATCAGTTTTTTTTTGTCCGCAGGATGGCCATCGTGCAAGCTGGCAATGAGGCAGAGACCTGGGGTTGAGGGTTGTGGGAATGGAGGTTGGTTCAACCAGAGGTGCCATTTCTTTTTGGTTGCTTGATCATCGATGGAGATTCGTGGTTGACTTGGTTGTTTCAATAAATCTACCGCCGTCTATTTTCAAAGAGAAAGGGAACCTATGTTGGTTCCCACTTCCGTGATACCTGGGAACCTCTAATAAGGGGAGAACGAGTCATTTAGAAGGATATCCCTAGAAGTGGTTGCAATTCCCACAACCCTGGTCCAGTTTGATTGTCAACCAAGGGAACTGGTGAATGGATACTTATTGGTTCATTTCAATGGATGTAGATGGGTCTGGTTGGCCTGGAAGCAGGTCTCAGTGGGAGGACGCCCATAGGGTAAGTGTTTGAAGATAGATGGTTTCCACGACTTCTCACGAGAACAGTAGGGTTCGGGGGGTGGTGCTTTTTCATTTAGTCCAAATCAGGGCAAGGGTTTAAATCACAGAACCGCCCATCCAAGACACCAAATGACGGGGCTATGTAGTGTTAAGAAGTCTGGCGGGTTTCACGGCGAGGCCCTTCTGCAAGAAAACCAGGGTACTTGCAGTGGGATGGGGGTGGCTCATGATTTCACGGGTCTGGGGTAGGAGAATCTCTAAGTTATCAGAGTCATCTCACTTGAAGAATCTCCGAACAAAGCTCAAAATCTCTCCTGATGCATTTCCCTGGACAACTGTAACTTTTCTCAGGCCATTCCGGGGAAGCCGATTTGTTTTCTCTGGTTTGACCATCGCAGGCCAAGTTACATCGGAGTTCCCTTTTGGTGATGCAAGGGGACATCAGCCGCCAAGGGCCCAATGTGTGGGTTTGAGGAAGCATTGGCCTCTTCTGGGAACGTCTGAAAAGGACATCCCAAAGTGTCTCTGTTTTGTGCGGGAGTGCCTACAAAGGGGGTGGTCGTCCTTTGATTTTCCATTTAACGCCCGAAAAAGGGTACCACGACGCTGAACTCAACCAAAGGAACCGATCCCAGCAAAAGCAGACACACCGCACGCCTGTAGGCAGCCATGCAGCGGCAAGAGTACGAGGCGACCGGGGACTGGCAAGTGGGGAGACCCTCTTTGAAGTGTGACGGTGAAGTAGCGGTTTGAGCGGTTTTGGCAGATCTTCTTCACAATAAAATTGGAACAGGATTCCCCGAAGATTGGAACAAGAGTGATGCTTGAACAGGATTGATGTTTGGATGTATTGGGGCGTCCTGTTCAAGCATCACCTTGTGGTCAAGTTTCACTGGCTGGCCGTCAGAAATGAATTGCAATTGAGCTAGGATTTTGCTGAAGCGAGCAAATGCACCAGCCAGCTGGCCTTCTGCTTGAGGGCAGTTATTTTTTTTCTGGTTCTGTTCAACTGCTGCAAAGAACAGGGGACCCCTTTGACGGGATCCAAAGGGGTCCCGATCGCTTGCACCAAAGGACAAGCATGTGTTCATCATGCTAGAGCACATTTGTTAGAACCCGTTTGGGGTCACTCAAATTCAGGACCAAGGGTTGTGAGTGGGAACTTAGTGGCTTCGGGGGCAGTTGATGGAACGGTCAGGCTCCACACAACAATGTATGGGCCATTGGTACGTGCCTAATTTTTCTTCCTACATTCGGACAAAGCATAGCGACGTCACTAGGTTTGTCACGTCACTGATGACAGTTCCTTTCTTAGGGTTCCCTTGTTTTCAGCCTGTGTCATAGTTCGCACAGAAGAGAAGACGGCTTGCTGATATATCTAAACTCTTCAACCGCAACTTGGTCAGGTTCTGCCCAAACTCACAACATGGGTAGGCTACTCCCGCCCAAGCCTTTTGCGGTTGAACATTTGTCGGAGCCATGTTATTTTCTTTTATTTCATGGTAGCCAGGGTGCTATTTTGGGCGCTGGTGAGGGTGCTGTTGGTGTGCTCAAGCTGCGGTGGCAGTAAGCAAGCGGTGCTCGCTTGGCGATGCACTCTTTGTAGCCCGTCCCTTGGTCTCCGCTTCCCACTTCCCAAGGGCATGTTCAGGTAAGGTGTTTGGAGGTGTAAGGCGCTACAGGTGGTACAAAACCTCCATACCTCCAACCTCCATACCTCCAACCTCCATACCTCCATACCTCCATACCTCCATACCTCCATACCTCCATACCTCCATACCTCCATACCTCCATACCTCCATACCTCCATACCTCCATACCTCCATATCTCCATATCTCCATACCTCCATCCATACCTCCATACCTCCATACCTCCACCTGAACATGGCCTTGAATTCTTCCCCACGCTTCAGGGCTGGGTCAGGGAGACCGACGAGCAGATGGGCCGGCTGATCCGCGGCCAGGCGAGCCGCGGGCGGGCACGTTTCTCCGCCCGGGTTTTAAGGGGAGTCTCTCACTGGACAGATTTGCTCTCGTATTTTCAGGGCACGTCTTCGCAAATGGCCAAGAGTTCTGGAACGATCCTGTTGTCAAGGACTTGTCAACTGCTGAGATTTGGACTAAACACGCATTTCACATCTTCAGGAACGGCACTAGACTCACGCGTTGGTCGCATTCGAGGCCTGAATTGAGACGAGCAGTTTTTTTTACCGTCCTGTCAGCTTCCATGTTAGCATTTTTTTAACCGTCCTGTCAGCTTTCAGGTTTTGTTGGAGGGAGGGTAAGTTATTTTCCTTCAAGTGGGTTGTCAGGAAGACGCCATGGCCGCGCAGAAGAAGCTCGCGACGATGCAGGAGCGAGCGGGAGGGGGAGGGTAGGCAGGTGGGCGTGTCTTTTTTCTGAGGCTACTTCTTTTTCTAGCGGTTTTAATGGAAAACCGGTCCTCTAAAAAAGATACGCTCAGTTGGCTCCATTTTTGTTGGTTGCCCTGCTTTGGGGGTGTCTTTTGTAAGATTGGACCCCCAGGATGGATTTCGGAGTTCCTTTGCAACCAACCGGAAAGGGAGTCCCTCAAAAAATAGGCAAGCCCGGGCCAGAAATCTGGGGCAGCTCAAGACGTTCTTTTCTTGTACGGCTCGCTCTGCCTGAACCCAGCAGTTCCGATCAACTTTTGGACATCTAGCATCGTGCAACCTAGCAACATGGACCAAAACCTGCGGTCCCCTGGTTTAATTTTGACCCACACACATGTGGAAGCAAGCCACTTTTACTCGGCAGCACTTGTACCAGCAGTGAGACCGACATGTCTGACGGCGGTTCCATCCGTGGTTCTGGATCGCGATCCTAGGAGTAGACGGACGTATCTCCCGGCCAATCCACTCAGCAGGATTTGATCGGGGGCTTTTTTCAAGGAGCCTAATAGCTTCCCCAGAATTAGCTCCCCCCATTTTTTTTTTTGGGGGGGGGTCCCTGTGTTTTCCACTAACCAGGCAAGAAAGACAAGTTTCTGCTGGGGTCCTAATTCCAGCCTAGATAGATGAAGGATCTGATCGAGAATGAAGCCTAGAGAAACCCATAGAGACCCGATATGTGATCGAGCTTGGGGCTCCTCTCTCGAACCCTTGTATCAGCCGGGTGAATGGTTGTGATTCACCTGCAAACCAGTTGGTGGACCCAAACCCCGCCATGCAAAAGCCCCTGCGCGAGAGCTCCTCACCCGGCTCGGCCTACAAGGCGCGCCTGCAACACGACAGAGACGAGCACGCGGAGAAGGCGTGTAAGGCGCGGCCGGTTCGCGTGGCGAACTGCGTGGAGATTCCAGCATTTATTCTTTCAATGTCGGTTTGACTTTCCTGTTGCTGGATTAAGTTTTTAGGCTTTTCGTTTTTTGGTTCTGTGCGTTTTTAGTGAGCTGCAATAAACACAACTTGTTGCTACCATACCAAGGGTTATAAGGTTGAATATCACCTTTTGGAAACGATCAAATTTCATTCAGGGTCGGAAGGCCTAAGTGGACTCAGCGACTCGCCAGGGCCAGGATTCCCATTACTTCCCAATATCATTCAGAAGAAACCTCACACCTAAACTTGAGGCGAACAGGTGTCTAAAACCCGGGCAACCATGCAATGCTCACATAGCCAGAGCCATTGCAATTTGACAAATGGGGGCCATTGAGGACTACGAAAATCCATGCCAATGGCTTGTCAACAGCCAATGGCCTATCAACAGTTTTTCATAGGCTGTCGTCCATCCGATGGTGGTGCTGATCGGCAGAGATCGCTGAAACATGGGGTTTGTTTGTGTTTTTGCAAGGCTCGGTACCCTTTTCAGAGTGGTTCAAAGGCAAGCTAAACATCAAGCCGATCATTTTGGTGGCTAAGATGGCACATACCCATTTTGGTTTGTACACTGGTGCGTGGTCGGAGTCTTCTTGATTTCCTCCAACATCGGCTTGAAGGCCGGCCATATGAAGTGTTTTTTTGGGGGGACAGGTTCAGACCCTCTGGTGTGATCAAACACAAAGGGGGCCCCGAGAGAGAGGTGCCAAGAGCATAGGCTTCGGTACCTGGTCTTCAAAGAAAGCCACTGCACCGGCCATGATCGAATACCACCACATCAGTGTTTGGTGACCCCTGCAACTGGCCGGCCTTTTTTGGCGCCTCAACATTTGTTCCGAGCGACTGAGCTGCCGGAGCCGCTCTGGTCGGAGGTTTGCATGAACTTTGTGACGAACATCACCAACTCTACGAAGTTGGCCTGCCATGCGCCCAGATCCGATTTTTTTTGCAGATCCGGCACGCAGGTCGCAAAAAGACCGGCCGCGGGGGGGGCGGGGGGGGGGGGGAGCTTTCAGCTGTAGGCTTTTCGTGAAAGAGGAGTTCGCAACATGGTTGCGGGAAATTCCCCTGCCTAAGACTGCTTTGAGATTCCCTGGTATCACGGATGTGTAGAGTCACAATGCCTACGACTTTGGGCGCTGCAGTGAGAGGAGCTTGGTACGCGAAGACGTATGGACAACACAACCTTGTAGAGGGCTGTGTCTTCTTTGTTCCAAACAACCTGGGCGGGGTCGTGGCTTCCCTTGGCGACCCCCAAAAGGGTACCCTCAGAACTGGGAGGGCCCAACTCCTTGAAGTGGTCCTTTGGTTTTTTGCATGGCGAATCGAACGAATCGAGCTGACCGGAACGGTTCTTTGTGTCTTTGGCCAAGGTCCCAAAAGGCTTTCGTTTCCAGGCCCTTTAAGCAAGGCAAGCACAAGCCACGCGCAAGCCAAGCAGCACAATTTTGGAATCTCTCTTTAGCTTCGGTGATGTGGGTGTGTTCATTTTGGGGATCGCCCAACAAGGGCACCCTCAAACAACACACACACACACACATAGTATGTTTTCAAGGGACATGTAAGTTAGTAAGGGGCCCCGATTGCTCCTTCCCAGATGGAGCCAGCAAAATGCCTCTATAAGTGGAAACCGGGTCATCGCGAATTGAGGGAGGATGCATTGTCCTTTCGATTCGCTTGTAAAGCAAAAAGAGACGCGCTCAGGAACCTTCCATCATCGGGTTCAAATGAGGGGAATCCAACAAGCCTTAAAAGTGCACATGTTGGCTTTCCTTTTGGCTTTCTTCCGGCTTTCGCTTGAAAAGGGTTTTGCGAGCCTCGGCAACACCTCAAGCCTCCCGCGCGAGGCTTCCAAGGCTGGATCTCCTGGACCAAGAGGGCCAAGCAGGCGGGGCACAGTGAGGTTCCAAGAGCCCCGCTTGCGTGCGGCTTGGCGATTTTTGTTCTGGAAGGGTGGCGTTTTTTGGTTGGTTGGTTTGGTTGGTTTGGTTGGGTGGGTGAGTGGGTGGGTGGGTGGTTCGGGAGTCCGATGGCACGGCTGGCCGTAAAGCAAGTGGAGGCCTGGGCCTTGAGGCCAGGTCCCAGGCCCCTGAAGGGATCGAGAGGCAATCCCGGGGCAAGACCCAAGCTTTCCCGTCTTCCCTTGCGCGACTTTAGCGCCGCGGTGCTCCGGTTGCTTCCTTTTGCGGGTGGACGCCCCCTCCAAAGCAGCGCAAAAACCGGGGCGACTGTTGGTTCTGATGGCAACCACTGGTTGCACGTGGTGGCTGAAAGGGACTTCCTGTGATGTGTTTGTTTGGCCCAACTCTTGCGCAGGAGGGTGCCATTGTGAGGGAGTACGAGGACGCCTGCGAAGACACGGCTGGCTCTTTGCTCTTTGGGGGACGACTACAAGCCGCCACCGTGAACTCCTGGATTATCCTTTTGGAAGAACGGAAGCATTTTTTTGAGTTGGCCGGCTTGCGCTTTCATATATGGACAGGCCGTTTCAACACCACATGTTGATTCTGACTCGCTTGTCTCCTTTCCTGGCCTCATCGCTCAGGAGCAACTGGAAGACATTAGCCGTCGCCTCGCCGGGTACAGGCGGGCGCAGGTTTCCTGCCCAACCGCCCGCACTTCCAGTTGGGAATCGCGGCGGTTGTGTATTCCCGCCCCATTTGGGATGGCCCGGCTTAAACGCATCCACTTTGGTGTTGTCACTTTGAGTGAGATTTCTTTTTGGAGGGTGATGTTTTACGACAATATATGCACGTGTGTGTGTGTGTGTGTGTCGTGGCACGGGTTAGCGCGGGGTTTCCAACCAAGCAAGCTGTCCACTCTTGGTCGAAGTTTGTCCGTGAGCTTTAACACTGTTAAAGTATTGCAGCTTATTGGAGAATGCATGGGTGCTTCTCAGAATTAGGGACCCCTAAAACGGTTGGCAACCTTTTGCTTTTCCTTCGAACCGTCCAAAAGGGGGATCCCTATTTTGAGAAACAATTTTATGAGGTATGTGGGGCAAAAGCACAACCCTGGTGTAGCCTTTCCTCAGTGAACCGCTGGTAGGCAAGCCTCCCTTGCCAACGTCCGAAGCTATTTGGACAAGAAGGCGGGCCTGGTTGAGTGGGTTAAGCGGGCCCGTTTGTTTTTTCCACCACGCCCAGAGCAGTTGGTTTGCTGACCCCCCATTTCGTCCTTTCATTTTGTGGGCCTCAGAAGAAAGTCGCATTGAACAATGCGCCGACTCAAATGCCTGACTGTGCTTGCAGGTTGTTCTGGAGGCACTGCAAGGTTTGGACGGCCGAAGAGCCAGAGGCTTGATTTAGTAAAACAAGCAGAGTCATCTAGTGCTCCTCTTTTGGGAACATTTGCGTCGGTTGAGAGTCCGCAGTCCCAACAGGGGCTCTGTTTGTATGTGTATATTTGTTTTGTATGTATGTATGTGTGTGTGTGTGTCCAAACTAGCCAGCCCTTAGACCGAAGGGGTATATGGGTATGAATCTGAATTGGAGACCTTTGGCAACACATTTTTGCATGGGTCCACCAACCATTTTGAGGTGTTCCCCATTGAACTGCAAAGCCATAGTATGGTTTGGTCAAAATTAGTGGTAGTGTATGGGACCATGTGGGAGGGACATCCGGGACAACGTGAAAGCTCTCTTGAACCACCAGTGGACTACCAAGGGTGCCGCGTCAGTTTGACCATGGCTATACGGTTGTGTGTCGGAATAGGGGGGACACCCAAGATGGTTCTCGGGCTCCCTTCAAAGCCACCCCACAAGGGTACCCTTTCGAAAAGCACCCATTTGGGAGCGTCTCAAAATGATGAACCCCCCCCTTTTGGTATGTAAAGGACATCAGCAAGAAGGAAGTCATCATCATCATTTCCAGGTTTCAGTGGGATTTTTGGATGGGTTTCAAGGGACACCGGCCCCATTTTGAGCGCCCCCCCCCCCCCCCACAATTTCTGCCTCGCGGCGGCCACCTTTCGGACTGAGGCGCAGGCCCGCACCGCGGAGCTGCTGGCGGAGGTGCTGAACCTTTGGCCCGGGCCCCAGAGGGCCTCCGTGGCGGAGGAACCACCGGCCCCTCACCGCTCACCGCCCATCTACGGGGGAGCCGAGAGCGTGGTTTCAGCCAGTGGGACAAAACAAGCCCATGGCTTGCGGGTCTTTCCGCTTGTCTGAAAAGGATCCTCGGAAGAAATGGGGGGAAGGCACAGCTCCGCTGAACCCGGCCGTTTGAATCAGGGTTGTACCTTGAGCCGTACACCGATCTCCCAGGGACCAGGCCGTCGAGACTTCAGAAAGGGGTATGGTCGCGCGCCTGGAACTTCTTTTGGTGCCTCGTTTGCGGCATCCCCTTCTCGCGAGCAACCCCGAGGTCTTTTGAGACCAGTTTGGCATAGTGCCGACCCCTGGGGATTCGTAGATCCTCGCAGCGGGCCAGTCCACTCCCTAAGTGATGCAGATATTCCCTCTGAAATGGGGGCACTGCCCTATTGATGAGCCAGTCAGACTTATTCTTCGTTTGAAACCTGGCCGTGGCCGAAAAATTGGGTGACCCCGAAATGGCACCTTGGCAAATGGATACAGAAACTAAGACCTGCGTAGCCCTGGCTCTTTCATTTGGAGCCACCAAATGATACCTTTCAAATGGGACAACCCATGCGCCTGGCTCAAACTATGGCGGGGCGACCCTTCCAACTCAAGATCAACAAGGAAAGCAACAAGCCCTCGTGTTACTTTGGTGAGTCTTCTGACTTCATGTTACATGCGGTTCGCTAGATGTGGGACAGCATGAACAAGTCAGATCTTCAATCCTCAATCTGCACGAGCCTTTGACGGAGCTGTCAGGCAGCGCGCAGCGATGGCCTCGAGCCTTAAAAGGTGTGCGGCGTCACTGGCGCTCCTCTGGCTCCTCGCGGACTGCACAGCCTTCAACCGCGTCTACAGCAGCAAGGTGGTCAGGGCCATTCTCTCCACACGGGGCCCCCCACGAGACCGCCGAAAGGTGGCGGCGGGTGGCTCCAAGGCCAGATGTGCCTTTTTGATGAGGCGCATCGACGATGACAAGATCAAGATGTCTGAGCTGAAGAAGGTCGCTCATGAGCTGCGTGGGCTGTTGACCGAGCCACGAGACTTCACCAGAGTGGTCAAGGCGCTTGGAAGTCGAGGGCTGCACCCGCGGATGCTCGACATCATCCAAGAGATGGATCAGCGCGTAGGCCCCAGCTACATCACGTACAGCGCGGCCATCGCGAGCGTGTCCGGCCCTGGAAGCTGGGAATTGGCAACAAAGCTGCTCCGGCAGCTGGAAGCGAGGTCCAGGGGCAGAGGAGAAGGGCCCAACCTCATCACATACAACGCCGTGATCCACACTCTGGCACAGGATAGGAAGTGGCAGGAAGCCTTGCAGGTCTTTGGGGAATTGACTTCCAAGGAGTTTTCCCCCACAGAGTCCACGTACAGCGCGGCAATGTCAGCATGCAAGTTGTCTCAATGGGAAGTAGCTCTGCATCTCAATGAGGACATGCTGGACAGAGGTTTGCGCGGCAACTTGCTCACATGGACAAGCCTGATCCAAGCCTTGGGGAGGGCTGAGCCGGTCCTCGCTATCCGAGCCTTCGGGCGAATGAAGCGTGCCGGTTTTCAACCGGATCAGCAGGTCTTTGACGCCGTTCTGCGAGCTTGCGCCGCAGGCGGCCTGTGGAAACGGGCGATCTTCATTATTAACAAGATGATGGAGGCAGGAGAAAGTCCCAGTGCTTCGGCCTACAGCAGTGCGGTTGCGGCATGTGCAGCCAGGCAAGGCAGGCGCAGCATCTTGCTGTTTGAAGAGATGCTGCAGAAGGGCCTGCTGCCGACCCCGGCAGCTTATGTCGGAGTCATGGCAGCCCATGCCCACGACGGTCGCTGGGACAGAGTGCTCAGGACCTTCTCCGAAATGAGAAGCCAGCCTGGGCCGATCACATATGCTGCCTATGCTGCGGCCATGAGGGCTATTAACTTCTATGAGCGCTCACCAGATGAGAGCGATTCGCGGAAGCGCGGCATGGCGCGGAAGCAGCTCAAGATGTTTACCGACATGCTCAAAATGCACAAGACGCAGCCAGACGCAGAATGCCACAGTATTGCGGCTCGTGCGTACGCGGACTGCTACGAGGCTGTGAAGGGAACGCGTCTCATAGAGCAGGCACTTCAAAACGGGCATAGTCCTCATGGCTCAGCATGCAGCGCCATTCTGCAGGCTTTGCCTCAGAGCCGGGATGGACAGATCAGCGACAAGCAGCTGAAGTTACTCTTCGAAGCAGGCATCACTGGCTACTTGAAGGAGTCGCCTAGTGATTCTGTCAGGCTTTTGCGGGAGATGCAGGAGGCCAAGTTGGAAGTCAGCCAGGAGATCTACCAGGCGGTGGTTTGCGAGTCGGAGGAGCCGGATGTGGCCGCATGGGCCTACGAGGAGATGCGGCGCCTCAACATGACGGCAAGCGCAGATGCCTCCGTTGCAGCCATGCAGGCGTTTGCAGAGGACTGGGAGCGAGCGCTGGAGATCTTCGATGAGCTGAAGAGCTCTGGTGCTTTGGCCTTGAGAGGCAAGTCCTTGGACTTGCTGGAGAAAGCCGGGCTGGCAGCGCTGACGGCCTGTGCTGCTGGAGGACGATGCTTAGAGGCCCAACATGTTCTGGAAGAAGTCCGATTTCAAGGGCTTGCTTTAAGCCCGCCTCTGTATGAGCAAGCAATTGCTGCATCCAGCAGCCAGCTTGATACTGCTCGCAACTTGGTGGGACGGATGTTGGCTGCTGGATACCAACCCTCACATGAAGCGTTGGCCGTGAGCAAGATGGAGAGTGCCATTGATCAGCTCCAAGCGATGGAGGACATGGGCTTTGTGCCAGATGAGGCCACAGTCCGGGCCGCCATCGGAGAGGCGAGGCATTGCAATGACCGAGAACTTGCGCGCGAGCTGAGCTTGAGGCTACGCGTTGAAAAGACAGGGGCGGAGGATGTGCGATTAGAGAGAACCAGCAAGCCCAAGCGACCTGGCAGAGGAGACAAGCCAAGGAAGCCGTTTAGGCCGAAATCCGGCCAGGGAAAGCGGTCCGCAGCGAGCCGGGAGAGCGAAAGCAAGGAGCAAGCGGACATCCAGAACAGCGAGGACTGGCAAGAAAGAGTGACCTATTTCTAGCATCCTTTAGCCGAAGAGTTTCGTCAAATCGACCCGAATTGAAAAAGGCTGAGGCCTCAGGCAAAGTCGGCTGTGCGCCCGGTGAGCTCAAAAGAAACAACTTCATTTGGGCTTGTTTTTGTTTAGAGTACCCTTTCCCCCTTGGCCTGAAAGGGAAACCAACAGGAGACCAGAATTTGCTGAGGCCCCTCGAAATGAGGCATACCGTACCCATTTGGGGCGAAGTCCGTACTCATTTGGGGCATGCCGTACTTTTTTGGAGGAAGCTTGCAGGGTCTGCTGCTAGGTACGACGTGTTCACGGAGGAGCGGGAGAACGAGGCGATGTCCTGCCAGGTGCGGAGCTTGTCGAATCGCCGAGTCGCCGAAGGTGGCGAATTGGGGAATGCGAATTGGAAGGATCCCTTTTTTCACCATCCAAGGGGTGGTCTTCCTTCAAATTCGGGGAATTCGGGGAATTCTGGGTTCATTCCATTTCTCATTCCCTAGAACGGCCGGGTGAAGAGAATGGGAATTGCACCGCTAGAATAATGCTTTTTAGCTGCTGATTCAAAGCACGTCCTCGTGCTTGCAAGATGTAGGGAATCAGTATCAGTAGCCTGGCGTAAAATACAGCAACGAAACATGACATGGTCAAATACAGTAAATCAGAGGCTTCCCCTTGTTCCCCTTGCAAAATTCAGGGGTCCGCAATTCACCGAGGTAAAATAAACTGGCTCTTGACATGCCAGCGGCAGAAAACGAGGTATTAAAAACATCCACGTCCCCCTCCCCCCCCCGGCAAAATACGGAAACAAACAAAAGGAGAGAGTCTTGAACAGGGAACCAATCGGACCAAGGCGAAGCCTCCGAAGCAAGCGACCGCTTCGGTCTCGCTTCGGTCTCGCTTCAATCTCGCGCGATGCCAGGTGGAGGAGATGAACTCCAAGATGGCGGCGGCACAGGGCGCGCAGAAGGAGACCACCAAGAGGGCCCCTTCGCTGAAATCCGGGAGGCGCTCGCGACGCCTTCTTTGGGTTTGTTCTATGTTTCTTTTTTTGTTCAGGGGGAGTTAGGTGTTTTTGTGTGCTTTTTGTGGGGGATGTGTTTTCTTTGCTCCATTCAAAAGGGTCCAGTTCGATTTCCCCCAACGTGCCTTTACAAGTTTTTGGCTCCCGGGAACCCACCATTCCACTTTTGAAGGGGAACTCGAACCCCTGATTTGAGTTTCTTCAAAGCAGAGCAACCGCGACCACAAATCCGAGCCCCGATCTCCGCCCTCAACCAAGCCAACCTAAGACCTGTGTGAAGTAAGCTCTCTGAGCCAAAACCCACAAACCAACCGCAAGCAGCTCTCAACTACTTTGGCCCTATTCTTCGCTTCCCATTGCAAGCCTCTCCCGGATGGTTTCCTTTGGTTGTGAAAAGAAACCAGGACTGGCCCACAAGGTCCGATTCGGATGAACTTAGTCCAGCTGTCGAGTAGCTGAAAGTGTTTCTCTCTAACCTGTGGATGGACAAGAACGTGCACCACGTATGGATGAAACCCTATGAATGTGGTTTGATAAGCCAAATGGCCATGGGGCGTAACCTATGGCTCCATTTTGGGGTGGATGAACATCCATTTGTTACCTATTTTGATGTTCACCAGGGGTACAGGGTTTTGGCCCACAGCCAAATTAATTGGGTGCCTGGCCCGGGTTGTGTCCATCCCCGGCAACAAACTTTGGGCTCAGCTCAGGTAGTGGAGCGCATGAGCGTGAACCGCGACGTGAGCTTAGTGCTGCACATGGTGCAAGGCGCGGAGCTCGAAAGCGGCGTTTGCCGAACAGAAGGCTCAGTTGTCCCCAGAGAATCGCCCTTGTGATCAGCTTTGAGTCAATTTTGGTCAAGTTTTAGTGTCAATCATCTTTGGTCCATGCTTAGTCAGTTTTGGCCAAGCTTTAAACATGGGTGCAAAATCTCAACCTTTCAGTTTTTCTTTCCAAGTAGGAATGTGAGTGTTTGTTAGAATTGGGGGACCCCAGGTACGTGGTTTCTTTTGGTTTCTGTTTACCCAAAAAGGGGTCCCCCATTTCGAGACCCCCCCATGCAGAAACTCGGATGGGCGTGTCCGTTTGAAACTGCCCATTCCTGGAAGACGGCTCCCTTGAAGAGGGCGAGCTCCTGTGTCAAGCAGACTTCGCCGCGTTCAAGTGTGGCACCGTGTTTTTGTGTGGAGAGGGGAGGGATGCTTCACTGCCAGGGCTCCCGATATTGTCCCTTTTTGGGTCCATTTGAAGTGGGTGTGCGTCAAAATCAAACCTGGGACCGCAGGTTTTAGTTTTTGGCTCCATTTACAAGGGTTCCATTTTGAGTACCTATTTTTGACCCACACCCAAGTGATATTGGCGATGTTGAAGGGGGAGATGTAAGGAGCTAGCCGCGTCTGCAGCTCTTTCTCGACTTGTGTTCGTGTTCTCTCGCCATCGCAAGATCTGGAGGCTGGAGGCGAGAGGTGGACGAGAGCAAGAAGGATGGAGCGCCGCTGCCCTGCCTTGCCGCCTTGCCGAGCGCGCAGTAAACCGCCCAGTTCAGAGGGATGTCGGGATGATGTTGAAGTGGCAAATATAGGGAGCCCTGTTTTCTGACCGATTTGGGTCTTGGCCATGCTGCTTCACCCGCCCAATTTGGACTCAAGGCCTATTCCGGGAGAATGGCTGCCCGCAATGACACGTTCTTTCCTCTTGGTCCTTGTTTTGTGGCTTCCCCCCCAGCAATTGCTATGGGGTCAATCCGTTGTGGCCAGGATTCCATGAGGGTTCCGGGAAGTTAGAGGCACTGCTTGGTTGCTTGTTTGCACCATGTCTTTCCTTGGGCTCACTTGCAGCTGTTGTTTGGGGCCACAGCTTCCCATGTGGGTATGTCTTTCTTTGCCATCTTGGGTTATTTCAAAGGAGAGATCGCACAAATCACGTCGACATCAAGGGCTCCCTTACCCAGTCAGCATTGTGGGTGTGGCTCAAAATCAAAAGAGCTTGGGTTACGCGGCTTTTAGTCTTTGGTGGTACTTACCAAGGCGCTATTTTAGTACCGGCTTTTTGAGCCGCAGCCATGTCTCTCCTTCCACTTGAAGGAATTTTCAGGAACTCCGAAGCCCAGTTTTGGGGCCCCAAGCCCAGCTGCACCAGCTGCACCGACGCCCGAAGCGCCGCCAGCTGCACGCGGAGACCCTGGCGAATGCCCAAGCGCGGCTCAGGGCCTTCCTGCAGGACTCGGGGGGGGGTGTCCCGTCGGGGCGATGCGTCCAGGGTGGGGGGGGGGAATTAAGTGACGAAGATGGAAAGGAGTGTTTTTTCCATGTGTGGTGGAGTCTCCTTTCACCCAACAAAAGCGGGACCAAAGGAAAATCACTCATTATTGGGGCTTCCCCCCGTCCATGTGAGTCACGTGCTTAAACCGCTTGGGGTAGTTGGAGGGTAAGGGACAATGAATCCCCTTGCCATTGAATGGGTGCTTTTTCTCTTGACGCATGGTTCTGGGTAGGCCATTTAATTATCAGGTGAGGAATTATGACTCATTTACTCATTTGTGGAGGATTCTACTTTTGGACGCAGGTTGTGCAGAGGAGTCTTCAAACACGTTTAAACCAGTTTTGTTTCAAGAACCTCCTTTTCGTGTTCCGTAGAAAGGCGAGGTTGCTTGAGCAAGTTTGCGGGTCCCAAGTTCAGTTTGTTGGTTTGATTTCCTTGAGGTGGGTTCCCCTCAACCAAGATTCCCCCGTCGGTTGCTAGGGGAGGGTTCCGGAAGAAATTCGCGCTTTCTTTTCCCTCAAAGATGGATATTGAGGAAAGGCCACTTTTAGGTGAGCTCCTCTTGGTCAGGTGGGAAAGCCAGGTTGGCCGGGTGGGGGCAATGGTGAAGGAATGCAAGAAGGTGTTTTCTTCTTTGGGGTTGGCAGATGTTTTGAGTCGGCCAGCTCCGCTTCTTCTGTTTTCGAGTTGGGACTTTCTGTTTGGGCTGGCTTTGAGAAAACCAACAGGAACCGAAGTGGCAATCTATAGTGGGCTTTGAAGCCCCCAACCTAAACTTTGAAATTCCCATGTGCTCAAATCCTTTTTTTTTTTTCTCCTGAGGTGAACCCAACTGAAAATCCACAAGGCTGGTAAACTTCTGCTGAATGATTCGTTCATGAGCATTCACACCCAGGGGCCCGGAGAGAGCTCTCCGGTTGCCTCCCTTCGCCTCTTCTGTCTCAGGGCAAGAATGAGGGTGCGCTGAAGGCGAGCGAAGGGGCGAACGGGCGCGGGGGTGAGCCAGTGAGCGGTGAATATTTGCGGTCTTCTATACTTGGCCGCCTTTCAATTGCAAGTGGGGTTCCAAACCTAAGTGGGGTTTACATGGAACGCTCTAGGGCATCCAATATGATTTAGGGGGACATAATAGGGGGACATAAGTATGCCTTGTTGCTCATGCGAGACCTGAGCGGGTGTTCTTATTGAGGTTTTTTTTTGGCGGTTGTTTTTAACGTAAACCAAAGGACGCCATCCATTTTTTGGGCGCAGACAGTTCAACTTTTGGGCAAAAAGTTGTGCTTCAGCCCAGGAAAAGATACTGAATATGCTGCGAGCTTCTGGAGGAAGCAGGTCTTCAGAGAGGGAAGAGGATCCCGGTGTGGATGCGCACAGTCAAGAGCGACCGCTAAGGGATAACTGGGAAGTTGATTGATGCGGCAACAGTACACGTGTTTTATTGTTCCCCCCTAAAGGGGAGAATGCATATTTTCCCACGAAGCAGCAAAAGAGTGGATCGCGTTATGCGCAGCGGTCCGTTGGCCGCCCAAGCTATGATACCTGGGATCTGGGGTAGGGAATAGATTTGTAATTGGGTTTGTGGCCGGATACATCTTTCTTAGTTAGTAAAGAAGGTAAATTAATCATTCAAAATTTAGGTTGTTTTTTAACATTATCTTACTACATTAGTTAATTCACTAGTTAAACAATGAAATCATAAAGGCTTTAGGAATCTACTATTTATTATCTGTATTCATCTTTGGAATCTCCAGTATATTAGTATCAGTCCTCAAAAGAATAGACTTATATCCATCAGGAAATGGTATATCTGCAGAAAACCAGAGCATCTATAATACAAGCATTACATTGCGTGGCTTTCTTATGATCTTCTTTTTAGTAATTCCTGGCTTGTTTGGAGGATTTGGAAATTACCTTGCACCTATCTTTGAAGGATCTCGTAAAGTGGTATATCCTAGAGTCAATAGTTGTTCTATCATATTTCTTTTACTTTCACATCTGTCCCAATCCTTTCTTCAATCTGAAAATTTGCAGGTGGCGCAGGATGGACGTTATATCCACCATTCTCCACTTCTTTTATGACTGTATCACCTTCAAGTACCAGCAACCGATGCAACTCGGGCGACTTCAGCTGAAGGCCCCTCGCTTTTGGCCGGCGGAGGGAATCGGAATCTGAAGCCGGCTCCGGGAATGAAACCTGTCCAACATGGATGGGTGTACCTGTGACCTGGCTGATCTTTTTCTCAATCTGTTGCACATGGGCCACGGAAATCTTCAAGTCCACGGAGTCCTTTGAGCAAATTACCTTCCCCCGTTCCGCAAGTTTGGGTTTCGCATCCCCGAAAAAGGATCCGGCCCCTCGTAAGGGGAGGTTTTGTTTTATGTCGGTGTGTTCTGAGGCTATCAAAATTAGCTGTAGTCCATGGTCCATTTGGGAGGGACATGGAGGAACTCAAGACTTCCCACAAAAACCGCTTGACTCTCGAATCTTTCCACGTCCTTTTGGGGAAAGAACACTTAAGTTCTCAGCACAGCGGGCTGGGCGAACCAGTGGGGCTTCGAGGTTTCCTTTTGGCCCTGGAAGGGCCTGAGGGTTTTCACACATGTATATGTATATATATATATATATATTTAAGGGGACCCCTTCCAAAAAAAAGAAAGGAACCGGAAGTACCACACCCAGATATCCTTCTCAACTTCTCGACTCCAAGTGCCCCGAAGTCCGAACTCGCCCCGACGCCAGTTCCTGAAGATGGCCCTGGGCGGCAGCGACACGGCGGTGGTCACCGAGGCGAAGGGCTCCAGATTTGCCAAAGGGACGCTGGCCCCAAAATAAGGTAGGCTTGGTAGTCCCTTTGTTTCTTTTGGTTTTGCTTTGTTTTGGTGTTGGCTTGTTTTGGTTGCTGGTTTGTGATGTTTTATTCTTGTGTTTTGTTTTTTGTTCTTGTTGTTGCATTGTGTTGTTTTGGTTGTTGTTGCACTTCGCTGCCGGCGTGTCCTTGAAAAGAAGCTTTGGCTCGCAAGCTTGTGTCGTCAATACTACATTTAACCGTTGCTGAACCTGACCACCGGCTGGTGTGACGGGGGCCGTGGCCCCCTCCCGCGTCTAGAGTTGTGGTAGGCCGCTTTGGCCTGGAGCCTGGGTCCGGTGCGCCTATTTATCCATCTGTGGTTGGTAGGGTTTTTCTGCGAGCTGTCCAGAGTCTTTGTGGCATTCCGTGACAGACGTTGCCGCCATGTTCCACGTAAGCGAAAGCGCGCCCGCCCGTGACATGCAAAAGGAGGTTTGTTTGTTTGCTTGTTTGTTGGCTGGTTTCGTTTGGTTTGGCTGGTTTGTTTGATTGTTTGGTTGTTTTTTGTTTGGTTGGTTGGTTGGTTGGTTGATTGCTTGTGTGTGTGTGTGGCTTGGGTCCCAGGAAACTTGTGTGTCATACTTACAAATGTTGCACGATATTTTGGATCGGCAGAGCCATGTCCAAAGCAAGTTGACTGGGCCATGTGTGGGGCCGCGGCACCAAAATGGTGCTCGCAAAGTGAGCCGAGGCTGGTTTTTATTGGGGAAGGGTTCAACCACAACTTGCAATACTTCAAGTGAACCTAGGTGGCAACCTCGCACCGGTCTTGGTGAACGACCGATTTCGACCCTCATTATCCACTTCCTTTCTCGGAAAGGACTTGTATGTGTAACAGAAGGGCAATTGTCACGCAACAACAATTTTACAGTACCCCCCCCCCCCTTCTAGTGATTTCGCGCCTTGCAATGGTCGGAGAATAGTTCTGAGCCATGATTCACCCAGATCATTGCCTGATTTTCCAAGCCCTCTGCTTAATTTTCAGGTGGAAGATGTTTCGGGCCAAGCTTGGCCCTCCTGGTGACGCCCAAGCCAAGTGAAATATGTATTATATATATATATATATATATACATATGTATAATATGTATGTATAATATATATATATATATATATATATATATATTATGGTACCCCCTGTATATGGACGTTCTTTCTTTTTTGTTTGATTTGCTTCTCCTGCCAGTGCGGCAGGCGTGGGTGAGCTGGAAGCAGACGACCCTCGATGTGAAGAGGGAGGCAGGGAGTCAGGAGACATTCGGTCGGCACTGGCTTGCTTGACCTCAGGTGCCCCACGTGCTAGTCGTATGAAGTTTTGGGTGGGAATCCACCCATACAGGCACCAGTTTGTCACTGTCCAAGCATCAGTCAGTGAACAACGTGATGATTTGGATGGTTTGAAAGGTTCAGCTAGGGTTGTGGGAAAATAAACGGATGCCTAACTACTTACCTATGTTAGGGGTTCTACAGCCTACCTTGGTCCTGGTTTTGGCCAATGTGGCTGTTGCGCAGGCCGTCGCTGGGGGCCTGTCGTGGGGCACCTCGTTTCCGCGCTTCGACGCTAGGCCGAGGTGAAGAAGGCTGCCGAAGAGGCAGCCAAGCTGAAACAGGAGCGTTTGCGGGGCCGGATAGCCAGAAAGAAGTCGTGCCAGCGGATTCCGCGATTTCTTTTGTAGATTTCTTTTGTAGTGTGAACATGATGAAACCCCCAAGATTCACCCCGATTGATTGGTAGGGGCTGTCCCACTTAGAGCGTTGCAGGACCGCTTGGCCGCCTGTTTGTTGGTGAAAGCCCCTGGGGTTTACTGGGCTTGACCATTGCTTGAAGCCAGGCCCGTCCGGGCAAATCCCTCTGATTGCTTTCCTTTTGATTCCCTTCAATTCCATCCGTACAGGTCCTGTGCGACAGCCCCAAATAAATGCTTGCAAACCCTGACTGGTCTTGATTGTGGGATGCCCTTCATCTTGGTCGCCGATGTGGGCATGTGTTGGGAGTCCCTCCAAATGGTTGGTTCCACGGTTGGCCTTTACAACTTCCTGCTTCCATGCGGCTGTGCCGGATGTGTGCCGTGCTTCGGCTGTTCTGCGCTGGTTGCTAAACAGCCCGCTTGTTTAGACACCCTATTGAACAGGGGTAGTTTAGAGGACTCACCTGCCGCTACGAAGTCCTCTTGCCGGCTGATTTAGAGGTCTCTGTAGCCAAAGCGGGCGGTTCCTAGTTGAACCTCCGCACTCGCAAGCCGGAGGAGTACAGGGAGCAGCACATCAAGGTGGCGAGGTCCGCGATGAACCGCGCTGCCGCGCGCGGCCCTCGGAAGCTGTCACAGCTTCTGCGGCCGCCCTTTGGGTTCTTTGGATATTTTGGGGTCGACTCCTTTGATACCAGGTCTTGATTGTGGCTCAAGTAAAATTGGAGACAAGCCAAAAGCACGAGGCCACGCAGGAAAGGCTCCTTCAGGAGCAGGTTTCGAGAAATCGAAGGGTTCTGCAAACCATTCTGGCGGGTCTGGTTTGCAGTCGTATGACCTCAGGGAACTCGTTAACCTCACGAAGTCTGTTTCAACACAAGTGGATGTGTAAGGAACAGCTGACGTCGAATGCGAGAAGGGGGAGTTTGGGTTCTAATTTGTAGTGGGTTCGAACAAATTGCAATGAAATCCCACCTCGAAAGTTGGTGGGTGGACATACATCCGCACCAAAACGATGTCCACCAATGGGGGCCCAATTAAACATCACATCCAATTTGTCCCCGAACTCGGATGCTCACAAGAAATGTCGAACGCCAGCTTTGGGCCCCTCAGATCCCGTGGCTTCCAAGGTGTCTTTTGTTGCAGTCAATCGCCGGCTCGATGTCAACGGCTTGGCCCTCCAAAAGGTGGACGGAAGTCAAAGAGGAACCCACCCTGAACTTGATCAGGTTTGGTCGGACATGCAGGTTTGTCGACTGTCAAGCTTCCAGCTTCGGGATCGTTTTTTGGATTGTCATGTCGGCTGATTTCCTGGCTTAGTATATTTGAAACAAGCTTGTTGCTTCTTTGATTTGTTTCATTTCAGGGGCTGCACAACACGAATCACTATTATTGCTCACTATTTGGAGGTGGGGCAGGTTTTCGTTTGGCTTTCTTGAGCCCATTTTGCTTCATATTCTGCCGTTGAACGCCCCATTGCGTGTTTGAGCAAGGGGTGCGCTTCGTTCCCAGGAGACGACGCCCCGGCGAAACGGCAGTTCCTTTTGGTTGCTTTGAGCACTGAGCTGATTCCTTGGGATACAGCATACAAGTGGGTTGTTTGATTTGTTTGATTGCTTTGCAGCCATTTTTGGGGTCCAGCCCCCCTAGTGTAAGCACTCTACCTCGGGCTTGAAGATTCACAAGGCATCGAAGGACAGTCATGCGTGTGACGTCCGATCATGCCCACGTCTAAGAACTCAACAACAGCCGCGAGCCGCATTCGTACTGCAGGGTACATGAGCAGAACTTGCTCATCGAGATGTTCGAAAACTGGAGGCACGGGAAGGGTAGGGTATTTGGTATTTTGTCTTTCTGTTCCGGAGACTTATTTTATACCTGGCGATGCCCATGTCACAACACACATTGACAGAAGAGATCCAGTTGACTACATCCAAGTTGACTAGCATCCAGGGCTACTCAACCGAGGACAGTTGGGATGAACAAAATAAGGCTACGACGGCTGTGTCACCCATGTCACTGACAGAATCTCGCCCCAGGACACAAATCATGGGGAACTTCGATGCCCCCAAACAGTTTGCTTGTGCTCGCATTCCTTGCTTTTGGCATGATCCAATCCTATTGATAGACCATGGCCTGGGCGGAGTTTGCAGAATATCAGTCCTGGAGACATCCGCTGGCTGCATCAACTTCGAAGCTTCGACTCTGCCCACTGGGGTGTTTCAGATACGAGGGGCCTTGTTTCCCCCCCCCCCCCCCCCCACCCCGAAAGTGGTGTGGGCCGAGCGCCTCCACGCCATGCGGCTTTTCGTGATACTCAGCGAAGTGTACGTGCTAGTAAGATGGGATTCAGGAGCTGATGAAAGTCACAGGTTTCGGCTTTCTTCGCTTTCGCCGTGGCGCAAGCGCGCCGCCCATTTTCAGAGGACCCGAAACGGGTCTCAAAAAGCGATGTCCGGCATGCAAAGGACCATCATGTGTGTAGCATCCGATGGAACCCATTCAACGGCTCGCCCAAATGGCACAGGCAGGCCGGCTATCTCTCGGCCAACAAAACCTTGACCATCTCAGATCCTTCGGTTCCGAATCCAACGCCAGGGTGGACAGCCGAGTGGAGCACACTGCTGTGAAGTGCGCAGAGCCGGGAGGGCGCCCGAAAGAAGCCTGGGAAGAAGGAAATCAATTATTTTAAGTGCCCCCCCTACCATGACGCACAAAAACATGAATATATGAACCCGTGCGCCCTTTTTTGGGAGGGCATATGAATCTTCCATTCTGCTTTGTGATTTCGCATCCCCGAGGACGGATCAAGGAAACGCAGGGCCTTAGAGGGCTTCTACACTTGGCGGGGGGTCCGGGGCCAAGAGGCAGACCACGAGGTAGACCCTTTTGGGTTCGTCCCCTTTGCGACCCCCGGAACCTTGGGTCGCAGCAGCTCTAGGTCGAGTTGGGCTTCGAACTGTTTTGCCTGGATTTCCTCAGAACGTGGAAGATGGTTCTCTTGTGCTTTGGGAGCCGCTTTTTCTGGGTTCCATGTATTTTTGGGATGTACCGAACGCCCAACGACGCTCAAATCTCAAACCGTTCGAAGGTACGGCGCAAAGATCGACGCGAAGCGGCAACAGCTGGCCGGGGTGCATCAGGTGCGCGACCGCGGGACTCGCTCGATGGGTGTCCTGTTGATCGGGTTTGGGCAGTGAAATGGATGGGTTCTACTGGTTTAGATTGGTTTTGTGCCATCCATTTTCCAAGGGAACCCACCATTCTGTGTTTCTTCAAAAGGTCACCTCCTGAAATTCGGTGGTCGCTTCCAGCCTCGGGCAGTTCCCGAGTTTCTGAACTTCACAGCGTCCGGTGGCTGTTTTGGTCGCAGACTTGCTTTGGCCTCCCTTCGGGGAGATTTCTAGTCGTCTTCGGAGCAATCGGAGCATGTGCTTTTTTTCTCAAATTTCCTGTTGGTGTCCTGTTTGTAATGCCATCCGAAAGGGATCTCAAAGTGGTTGCGGCAAATTGTTGGTTTTGGGTGGTCGTGGGTGGTCACATTTCGTTTGGTTTCTTATTTCCCTTTGGGTTTCTGCTAAAACACAGGGGGGGAATCCATAGTCTGCCCTAGGGGGTGGGGGGTTGGGGGGGGCAATTCATGGTCGTGGGAAGCCAATTTTCATTACCATTTGGACATCTCCTTTGAAGTGCAAAAATAATCATGTTCGGTGGAAAGCCCACTTCAGTGTCACAGATATAGGGTGACTGCCCACACCATACCCAGACTGAACTGTACAAATTTAGTGTGGGTGGCTCTCAAAAATCGGAGGAATTCTGAGGAGCTGGTAATTTGCCCTGTACCATCCAACCAGGCGGCATACGCACACACACAGACATACACGCATACCCGCAAACCCACGCACACAGACACAATCAGACACACACACACACAGACACGCAGACACACAGACAGACACACAGAAACACAGACACACACACACAGACACACAGACACACAGACACACAGACACACAGACACACAGACACCCACCCACACACACACACACAGACACACGGGCACACAGACATACACATACACAAATATACGTACTTATACAGCGAACATATACATGCGGGCAGACAGACGGCGACAGACAGACAGACAGACAGACAGACAGACCGACCGACCGACCGACCGACAGACAGACACAGAGACAGAGACAGAGACAGAGACAGAGACAGAGACAGAGACAGAGACAGAGACAGAGACAGACGGGCAGACGGGCAGACGGGCAGACGGGCAGACGGGCAGACGGGCAGACGGGCAGACGGGCAGGCGGGCAGGCGGGCGGGCAGGCAGGCAGGCAGGCAGGCAGGCATGCATCATATAGACGGGCAGACGGATACACAGACAGACATGCATGTATGCACGCATGCATGCATGCATGCATCCATCCAGTCATCCACGCATCCAGGCATCCATGCATCCATGCATCCGTGCATCCGTGCATCCATCAATCCGTCCATCCCTCCATCCATTCATCCGTCCATCTATCCATCCATCCATCCATCCATCCATCCATCCATCCATCCATCCATCCATCCATCCATCCATCCATCCATCCATCCATCCATCCAGATGTTTCGGTTCACCGCAATGTCTGTAGCCGCTGTGGAGGCAAACAATCCCCGTATTTTCAGAGGCTGGTGATGCATTGTTTGACCCCCCCCTCCCAACCTGGTTTTGATTCGAGGTATTTGTTGATGATTTTTCTTCTTCTTCTTCTGCTTCTTAGAGATTGTTTACGGATGTCCTGCTTTCTGAAAAAGAACGCAACGGCTTGATTCCGCCCAAACTGCCCAAACCCGTCGCTCGGCCAGATGTTCCGGGAGTTTGCCCACCAGCTGGAGGGCAGCCTCAAGAAGAGCCCCTTGGCTGGCTTCTGTCCACCTGCCCCGGCTCCCACCTAGCAATTTTAATAGTGCCTCATGTGAGCAACTTAATTTCCCTTGTGGTTGGAAGGCCAGACGAATGGTTGACTGGAAAGCTCCCCAATGCCCCTGGAGCCTGGGCACCCTCCACCACCTTTCGGGTATTGGATTTTTAGGCTTGGAGTCTGCAAAGAAACCTCGAAGATGGTCCCCCCCCCCCCTGCAAAGTTTTGTGGGTTGTGGCAAGCCAAGCACATGAGGCCTCGACTCCGACCGGCAAGATCGGCAGCCTCTCCGGAGGAGGGGGATCTCCAGATCTCGCATTTTTCTTTCCCTAAGGTCAGGGTCTGTTAAAGGGTACACCAGATGCACACTTGGGACAGTATACCGAATCACCTTGTCCAGAAGATCCCTTGTAAAGCGGGGGGTCTTTGGACGTATCCTTCAAGGAACCCTCTTCAGGCCAGGCAGCGAAAGCAGGGTTGCTCGCAGCCTCAAGATGCGGAGAGATATGTGGTACTCGGTTTGGTTCCTTTTTCATCGCCTCTTTTTTCTACCCGTCTGCCAAGCTCAGAGCAACCCATGGGGCCAATCTGCCAATCCTGGGCCTTGGCATTGCGGTTGCAGTCCTGGGAACAGCCCATGAATTCTGGCAATTCCAAGGACATAGTTTTCAAGTGGCTGCTGCGCTTTCCACTGTAACTGTGTGGCGTACTCCCCAGCTTTACATAGTTCCGTGTCATTGTTTTTTTGGAGAGTAGGTGTTGACTGGATTGCATCAAACGAAAACGCAACTTGGGCAACTAGGATGCCTTAACACATGTTCACTCGAAGCTCGGCCGAACGCCAAGCCTTTGCAAAGCATTTCCTTGCCGTGTTTTGCCTGTGCAGGACTAGGACTCTCCACAAGATGGAGACCGGCACCGTTTCGCTGCCGGACATCCACAAGCTGCTGCCTCAAGAAACCGGGAGGGATTCGAGCCGAACATGATCAACATTCGCGCCACATCGCGATCACAACAAATTTGAATTGGCCAGTTCTTATTCACCCAGAGCTGTTCTGGTTTCAGCACATCCAGCTTACAAAGATTTGTGGGTCCTCTTGGGGATTCCTTGTTTCAGGAGGCGCGCTGATAAACGCCACTATGTTTCGAGCACTTTCGCTATTTTGGCTTTTCGTGACATGTGAGACCTTCGGTGTTGGACTTATTGGCAACTTGCGGATGCAATATGTACGCCTCGACAAATGCTGCACACCAGGAGCTTTGATTCCCGCCAGCCTCAGCGCCTTGACTCAGGCCCCCCACGCCCACGGAGAAGATCAAGGCTCGAGTCTAGAATCGTGTTTTCGGTGGATGCCCTAAATATTGCAAGTAAACCGCTCATGCTCAACCACAAAGCCATGGTAAACTACAGCAAAGTAGAGGGTCTCCTTGTTGTCTTACTTGCAACATTTCGGGCATCCTCCGTATCTATGGTTGGGGGTCGAAGAGGATTGACAAAGTCCTGCACTTCGGATGGATGAGATCCTATCAATACTGGGACGGACTGCCTACTGGCGCAGGGTTTTGCAGATCGGTAGAGGATGCCCAGATGGTTTCCTTTGGCGTTTCCCTCTCAAATGTCCAAGTGGATTCCTTGTCGGTTTGGTGGGGGGCGACGCCTATGGACAATTGCCATGACTAGTCAATAGTTGCTTAGTTGCACCAAACCTGAAGCAAAATATGATCAGGGCCTTCTTTTGCCACCGGGCCTGCTGACACAGTGGAGCTTGCAAGTGTGCCACCACTGTGCTATGAGATCGAGCCCTAGCTATATGCCAAAAAGCTCTATTCAAACCTCTCAAAGCAGGGGGTAGATCAGCCGATTTCCATTTTGCCTTTCAACTGGGAGCTGACGCTTGCTACCGTCTTATTTATTTATTTATCTACCCTTCCCTAGAATGGCAGACGGATTTAGACCAGGTTCAAGCTTGCACGCTGACCAAGTTCTTTGCTACAAAAAGACCAGCTGCAAGCACCCGCTCCCGCTCTCCTGGTACAGAGTTCCCTCTTGCTCTTTTGCGTGGTTGCGTATGCATCACCTATGTTGCTAATTTAATGTTTGTTGGCTTTTGGTGAGGTGACATCTAGACTGGAGATATGGGGAACCACCGCCTGCTCTTTGTTTGGAGCTTCAACCTTCTCACTGTTTCTAAAACCAGCTGTTTCACCCGGGTTTTGCTGGTTACTAAGGATGGATGCGTGGAAGAATGGAGAAGATACTCCTAGAACTCTAGGAAAGACAAACATGTTTCCCACTGGCCAGCAAACGATTGGCAGTTTTGAACGGATCCAGGTGTGTGAGGTAAACTTGCACAGCTTCACACATCTGCCAACCTTACTGCAAGCTCACCGATTCGGGGGCAACACGAGCTCATCACGATGATGGTCACTTCTTTGGGGATTCCTGAATTGGGTATGGGTCAAAATTAAACCACCTGGGGACCGCAGGCTTTAGTCCTTGGTTCCATTTACCAGGGTTCCATTTTGGTAACGTATTCTTGACCCACAGCCAATTCAGGTTTTGGACAAGTTGCCGGATTTGCGGGCTCGTGTCGGGCAGTCCTCAAGGCAGACATTCCTCAGCCGAAGATGGCCTGGGGCTGATGCGGGCGAGCCTCACCCGCGGGCGTCTTGCCGCGGGCTGAGGAGACGCCCTTTTCTAGGGTTCTCTAAGCATCTTGGAAGGATTTGTTCCTCAGACATACTGAAGCCTTAAGCTTCCCAATGGATCCATTCAGGGGGGTCCCTTTCTCACGCAGGAGGTTCTGCTTCGGGTTTTCATCTGCAGGCGCAATAAATCTTCATAGCCATCGTCCTCAGACCAAAAGTCAAGTGTTGGGCGCTGCTCATCGCTTGTTTTCGAGGGGGAGGGTCAGAGCTTCAGCTTAAACCGCAGCAGAGGGGGGAACTAGTGAACCCTGGTTGGTCGATTTTTAGATTTCACCCGGTTCAGCTTGCGTTGTACGAACGCGAGCGAAGAGTTCTCTGCTCATTGAGCAGTGGTCGGGGTTGCAGCCAAGTTGTGACCCCACTTCAGGCCGCGCTTGTGACTCATTCACATGTCTCCTTCCGATCGAGCTGTTTGGTTGGCCCCAAAAACCCCAAAGAAGCCATCCTCTTTGCGGGAGGCGCCTTGAATGAGCGAAAAGTGTTGATGTTGCCAGCTTTCCGCCCTCCAGCGAGCAAATGGGCATCACGGTTGTGGAAAACTGCGACAGGTTCCGAAAACATAGCATCCCTCCAGTTTGTCGAGAATGTGCCTTACGTTTTCTTGATTGTGTTGCCACACTTTGCTCTCACGTGGACCTGCCATGGCACGGGAAAGCCGGTGTGTTTCCCTTAACAACCAAAAAGCAATCCCCGTCTTTTGCGACACTCCGAAAAAGGAGCCGACGAGACCTGTCCGTGTCGTTGCCGGGAAGCGAACCATCCACTAGCGGCTTTGATGGCATCGTTTGAAGCATTGGTTTGGCAGCATGATTTGAACATGTCACTATACATGGTTAGGGAAAAAGTCCGAGTTGGCCACCCTAACAATCCAAGAAGGGTTCTTAGAGTCTTGTAGAAGGGGTTCTTAGAAGGGTTGTGAGAGCCATTCTGGTGAGTAAGGCCCCGAATGATTGGTTGTTACGGTTGCTTTTGTTGCGACCTTTAATCGGATAAACGGTTGGACACTTGTTTGTCCACCACCAACCGGCAAACGCGCAGGCACCACTTTTTGCCGGGGGGTCAGTGCCAGCCCAGCTTGGTCCCGTGTTCCGAAGGGTGGGTTGTTCGCGGGACTGAGGCCGTGATAGGTCTCACAGTAGACAGGACTTTGCATGGCTTCAACTGAGCCTGAAGTGCAAACCTCGAGTCTCACCGGCGCAAAGACAGTGCTCGTTCGAGAGGAACTAGCCATAGGGGCTCAACTAGACACTGTCCCGGGCACCCTGGCACATATTCGACTAGGCCCATATGCCATATTGTGCCTATCTATGCAAGTTTAATACAACAGCATGTATCCAAATAGAACGCACATACCCACCAGTCGTTGAGCCCTTGGATCCCATTCGACGAGCTCTGGATGCCTCAAATACCTGTAAGTAAGTTCTGTGGTTCAGAGGGCTGGGCGGGTCGAAGGTGGAGCTGTTTTGAAAGATCGGACCACATGGTTACTGCCTGGCGTCTTGATGTTTGCTATGTGACTGTGACTTTTGTTTGAACAAATAAGTACCCTGTTTGGCGGTTTAAAGGGAAACAAAAGTGAAGCCCCGGTTTTGCGGGTGACCCATTTTCAGACACTCCCCGTGTGTGTTCATTTCTAACGTGTCACTTGAATGGTGCCTTGTTTTTGCGGGACGTGTTGCACGACCCCCCTCCATAATTGGGGGGAGCGAGAAAAGAGCTATTCTCTTCTAAGGTTATGTTCCCCTTGCAAGGGCTGACGCTTTGCCGAGGTTATCTTGTCGTGGTTTGGAGCCCCAAGGATCGGGGCATTGAGGGCAAGTGACTGTGCTGATACCGCCTCTTCCGACCCAACTCACCAAACATTTCCAAACAAGCAAGTAGCTGATGCTTTTGACCCCCAGTCCAGGCTTGTTTTCTGGCCGGCATGGCTGCCTCGGCTTTCTGAAAGAAAGCAACTGGCGGCTTTTGGCGCTTCATGGGCTCATGCGAGCCCATGGGAAAGCACTTGATTTTGTGGTGAACCGTCAGATTTGAACCTGAGCCGAAGAAGCTCTCAATAGCATGCATATTCACCTCGATACTGTCCCCTTTCCATGCTGCCACACCCGGTTCGTCTCCATATCGGCCTACCGCGCAGGCCGGTTCCTGAGTTGCATCGACTGGTCAGGGTTAAGCTTACCTCAGGGAGATACGACCACAGCTGCCCATTCCTCTCATTTTTGTTTTGGCAAGGGTTCCCTTTCAATAGACCAACAAGGCAGGGTTGGCCTTTCATGCAAGAACGCCAAGAGTTGCTTGGGACATGCCCCGGATCTCAAACCTTTCCGACTTTCCGAACTGAACGAGTTGGCCATTGGGAAATGGACAGGTTGAAAAAGCATAGACCACGCGAAGGCGGAGCCCACCTTGTGGAATGGGCTTTGAACCTTACCTGAGTTTCCCAAAGCGAGCGTTCATGCGCCCAGACCAGTGGTACCCCTTTCTGGTTCGTGTGGCATAGGTTGCGGACACTGTCATCTCTGGGCCAATGCCCCAAGTTGAAACACTGGAAACATTTTTGGCACCCGCAATGCATGGAAGTCGTGATTTTTGCGTTTTATGTGAAGCCGTGAAGGGAGCAATGTCAGCTTCCCTCCCGATTCCCTAAACGTTGCGAGTGAACATTGCAAGTGAACCCAGCGCATCCACCAACCACTGCTTTCTTTTTTGAATACAGGGTTCTCCTTGTTCCCCGGCCAATCATAGGTGTCCTTTTGGTTGAAAATACTTGGTGGCCCCCAGCCATCCCCTTAGCTTTTTAGCCTTTTAGCGTTTAGTGGTAGTTTCCATTTAACCCACTAAAAGTTAAACTTTAGCGGGGGATTTGAGGGCAGAATAAATGGCCCTGGTAGATTCTGAAACCAGGTCAAGCAGCAATCGCCATCACTTGCAATATGTTGGGCGTCCACAGGATCCCGGGGGTCCATCGCTCTCGCGCCGAAGCTTGCGGCGAAGCCGCCCCGTTCGTTGACTGAGCCGTGTCACCCGTGCGCCGCAAAGTAAAGACGCGCTGCGGCGCTTTCCGAAGATTGACCTATGGCCATGGGTCAAAAAAGGATACCCAAACTGGAACCCTGGTAAGTGGAAATATGGACTAAAACCTGCGGTCCCCTTGTGGATTAATTTGACCCATACCCATATGAGCGTGCCTCAATTTTAGGCGACCGCTAAAATGGTTGCTTCCTTTCGGTTTCCGATTGAGTACCAGCCCGCCATTTTGAGAATCTCCCACATGTGTCATGATCAAAAACCTGCTTGCTTGGGGTTGGCGTGGATGGTCATGGACCGCTTTTGTAGGGAATATTAGAGCCGTATCCGGACCCACATAAGGAGTTGTTACCTTGACACATACTAGACCTGGGTAGTTGAAGGCTAGTAACGGACAGTCGCATCGGAAATAGTTGCGGATGTTTGCCCCGTCGATTCGTTACGTGGTTCTGGGCAATCTCCTTTAGACAGAGTTCTCGTTTCCAGCTGATTTGGTTGGAGACAGCCATTAAAAAAAAGAGGGTCCTCAACGTCACGACGCGTGTGGCTTCGGATGTGGAGAACGCAGGTTTCCCATCGGACGCTGAGGGTCTCGAAACCACAATTGGGGTGAACTGCTCGCCGAGACCTTGTGGCTTCGGATGGGACCAACATGTCAGTCGTTCATCCGGAGTTCGCCGTTCCCCAAAGATGACCAAACCCCCGTTGGGGTAGAAACTCATGTCGGTTTCCTTTGGTTTGGCTTCCTTGTAGCGGCCGATCGATTTCTACCTCCCGATCGTGTATGGGAGCAACTCCATGTCCTTTGCGGGAAGCGACGAGACCTCGACCCTCCTGAACCTAGAAGCCAATTTGCTTTTCTTGTCCAACGCTGAGGGCAAACCTCAAGCATCTTCATTTGTGCAAGGCTCGGTGCACCCGGATCTCAGATCAAAGTTTGCCGAGTTTGGAGAGCACTTCGCAGGTATGTCAGTCCCTGACCTGTGATTTGTCCTCTCCACTTTTCTTGGTCCAGGCTTCTGCGGAACTTTTCCTCCAGGTCAGAATTATTTTGCCCATTGGAGCGGGTTCAAAGGGTGGGGGCTTTTGGCTTGACCACATTCCAGGGCTTGGGTTTTAAACTTAGGAAGGTTCATGCCAGAGATGGGTAGCCACCATCAAGATTTCGAGTCCAGCCACCCTCCGCCCCTTTTCCCAAGCGTTTGTGGAGGAAATCGCGCTAACCCAAGCCTCCTGTGCGGCTGGGTATGGGTCTGTCTTTTTTCAGGTACCCCCCCCCCCTTTGGTGGCTTTAACGGGGAACCACGTGTTTGTTTTTTTTTGTGTGTGTGTGTGTGTGCGTGTGTGTGTGTGTGTGTGTGTGTGTGTGTGTGTGTGTGTGTGTGTGTGTGTGTGTGTGTGTGTGTGTGTGTGTGTGTGTGTGTGTGTGTGTGTGTGTGTGTGTGTGTTTTTTTGGAGGGTCCCCCCAAAGAGTTGTTGATTGCACCTAGGGACGGCCATTTTTCCATGTTTTTCGCGCGTGGCGAAGCAGGACTCGGGGCTTTTGGAGGAGACCTGACGGCTTTCTGCGAGGGCCTCGGGCCCTTGTCTGATTAGTTGCACGTAGTCAAGACATGGGTAGCTCAAGGCCGGACATAGTAGTGGAATATTCTGGAAACCTGGTCTTTAAGTCATGTTTTCTTCTCAGTTTGGTGGGAGTTGAAAAGCGAGGGAGGTTTGGGGGCAGCTTTGTGAAGCATCACCTCGTGTTTGCTTTTGTTGCCTTTTGGGCCCTGTGTTTGGACATCTCCCTTGGGTGGTGCCGCGGCAAAGGGTAGTTGGAGCGCAAAGAGTCCTCAGACCTGCAGGAACTCGGGTCCCTTCGCTACCCAGTCCGCCCCCAGTTAGCCGCCACGTAACACCCAGTTCACCCCCCAGTGACTCGAGTAGCCTGTACCAACCGCCAGTAACCCGAGTAAGACCATCCACTTGACCAGGAAAAGGGGGAAGCCCGATGCTTGATTTGGAGCCATGGAGTTCTGGTGCAGACTTGAGACACATTGTGCAGCTCACGAGATTTTGGGCGACTAAACGTGACACACTTATTTGTTCAATCTTTTTTGAAGGATTTAGCCCTCATCATCCTGTTGGCCCAGCACAATTTGCAAAGGAGCGAGAAGTGCAAGGGCCTTTGATGCGGCCCATTGCCGACGAACCACCAGGCAACCACACCAGACAACCACTATGGGGCCGCCTCAAATTCCAATCGAAGCCACAGGCCCCGGCAACAAGCACTCCTTTCCCTTTACTTGGCCATGGGTCAAAAGCCCGGTTAGCCCCCAGTGAACATCCCAAACCATCCAAACCCCACTAAAATAGACTGAAATGGGTGGTGAATTTACCTACCCCAAAATGGGATCCCATTGGTTTTTGACCCACAGCCATTTGGGGACCTCTCATAGAAACCACTTTGGCGGAAGTTCCACAATGCCCTGGCCGGTGGACATAGAGCTCACCACGGTGTGGATGCGGTTTTGTGGATCCACCCCATGAAGGATTACTAGAAGAGTATTTAAAAAGGAACAGCTACTAAAGCAACATGGGGAGTCCACAGAAAACGCATCCAATCCGGTTTCGGGATGTCCGGTTTGCTAAATACACCAACTGTCCCAACACATTGAACCCAACACCCAGGCCTGGAAACGCTGCAATGATTGTGGAAACTTGGAGTTTGGGCCTACTTCACTGCAAGGCCCTTCAAACAAGTAGTCATTGGGAGGGCCCGTTTTGGCATAATGTGACGCCTCCCGAGGTATGGCTCCAAATGAAAGAGGGGCGGTTCAGGTCATCTTGGTAATTACCTGATTAATAACGGGTTGGGGGGGGGGGAGGGATGTATTTGGGCTCCCTCCCCCCCCTCTCTCGCTCGAGGTCCAAGAGTTTTGCTCCCAAGGCCGGGCATTCCTGGCGAACGGAGCGCGGGTCGACCAGCCTTGCGTGAAAGATGGCTGGCCTGGGCGTGTCTTTTGGTTTTGGGGTGGGGACCCTGCGAATGGTGGTTTTCCCTTTTGGCTTCCCTTCCAGAGCACCAAAAAAGGATACCCTCAACAAAAGCAACCCCCCCAGACACAAGCAAACGAGCAGCAAATGGATGGCCACATTTACGACCGAAATCAACCAGCTGAGCTACTGGAAAGTTTTCCAAGCAGTCAAACATGGTGTGCGCTGTCGGAACTGTGCACGCAAGGAAGTCTTTTCTGCGGGAGGATGTGAGGTCGCGAATGTCTCTCACAGCCACTTTTGAGAGTTTAGTTCAGGCTCTTAGGGTGGCTTGGCTTCTTCGCTTGGATCTCTACTCCCCTGCAAACTGACAAAGGACCACGCAAAGGGTGTTGCCAAAGAAGATTGCTAATTATCTTTGGGGGTTCGTTCAAATCAGGCTACCCTTAGTTTGCGGCTGGATTGGTGGTTTGGGCCCCGGGTTCTCGTAGAGGGCAAATGGGAAACCTCCCGCTGACCTCCAAACCCCGAATCCAAGCCACCAATCCAGACCGCCAATTGGAGGGAAGCTGATTAAACTTCCCAATAGAAACCACCAACAGGTCCCGCAACTTTTCGGTTTGGCTTGAAAGGAATGTTCCTACTCTCGTCAGCATGTGGAAGATTGGATAGGACCAGTTCCCATGATGCCAAGGCATGCCATCACAGTCACGGGAGTCCAACATTTTTGATCGCAGGAAGGGCAATTTCCACGACCATGTCTTGGAAAGTGTCCAACCCCCTTTTGGTCGAACGGTGGGTCACTTCTTGCAACGACCAAAAAGCCCACTGGCCCGCTGGCCCGCTGGCCCGCTTGGCTCGACGAGCCGGCGAGCTCGGCTGCGTGGGTGTGCGGATCGGCCATGGGGAAGAAGGGCAAAGATGGGAAGGACGCGGTGGAGGCGGTCGAGGACCGTGCCGCAGATGTGGGCAGTGGAGAGAGCCTGGGGTGCACCCATTGTAGTCTATTTTAGTGGGGATTGGAATGTTCACTGGTGACCCATGGCCAGATGTGTGGGTAGCTCAGCTCCCGGCCATCTCTTAGACATAGACCGAGCGTGTGGGCCAAACAAAGCTTCGCTGGTTGATTTCCGCGAGGACCCGGAGGAAGAAGAGGAGCGCGAGGCGTGCACGAGGGATCCTGTGGACCCGTGATGGTGTGGGGGCCATGTGTTTTGAAGGCTTCCCTAAGCATGAACATGTTTACCGGCGGGTGATGTTGAATTATTATGATTTTCCCAGAAACATGTCGGAACCTTCAAATGAATCATTATGAACGGTCCGGGGAGACACGCCTGAAAGAAAGGATGGGCTCAGATGCACTGAGATGCCGGAAGTCATGTTGTTGTTTCGCTTTCCTTGGGGTAGAGCACATGTTGACACTTACTGGTGACACTTATTGGTGACTAAAATATACTAAAAGTGAGGCACTCAAAATAATTGCGATGCATACGTGTTTGCTGTTTTTTGTTGCGAGGATATCGTTTTTTGGGCATGAAGGACACCAACAATTGTTTTGGTCCGACTGCTTGGCAGACACATCTTGCAACAGGGCTCGCACGGGGCAAGCGCCAATTCACATGTCGCAAAACACTTGACATCGCTTCAAGACGAAGCGCATGTGACCAATGTGTCAGGTCCCTGGTCTTTGGCGGATTCTTATGGGACTTTTCATTCAGCCTCCCAAAGTTGTGTTTTTCTGGGGCGTGGAAGGCCCACTCAGAGTTGGCTGAAGATTCAAGTAAGAAATGGAGCCTCCAGGACCTCACGACGTTTTATCTATGTTTTTCGTTTTGTTTTGAATGGCTTGTCCGCATCACTGAGCTCTGAGCACGCAGATATCAGAAATCATTGCGGTGCTTTCTGGATTGCGCTAGGTATGCCAAAGGGATAAAGGCAAAGGCACAAAGGAACACCACAGATGGAATGCCTCCATCCGCAGGTGCATTCTTCTGCCCAACGTATTCACCAAGAACATCAACGGGCCCCTGCCTTGTCTCAAGCGCCCTCTCCGACGCATTTCGCCATGGCGAGTCAGGTGTCCTTCCAGGTGACTTTGCTCAGTGGTGCGGAAGGCAATGTGACCGCAGATGCCAGCCAGAAGGTCCTTGAAGTGAGGAGCAAGATCTTGGAAGCGCTGAACTTGGACGCAAGCAGGGGAGAAGCGTTTTCACTTTTCCTAGACTCAGCTGCGGGTGAAGAAGTGAAGGATGACTGGAGCATCGCAGAGATCTCTGGTCGCAGCATTCTTGCAGTGGTGCAATCGGAGCCGGAATGGTGCACAAATAAGCGCTTCTCCAAGAGTTATGTCCACGGACGCCGATGTGGTATGGAAGAGACCTCTGAGGACGTCGACCTCAAGATTTATGCAGGTGGCACGTTCAGCTACAGCAACAAACACCACGAGCATGACGCTGAGTGCGGCTACGCGTTTGACTCCAGTTTGACAGCAACTGGTCAGTGGAAGCTTCTTTGGGACGCGTCGGATAAGTCAGAGGTCTTGCAACTCACAGGAGAATCCACCACGCACGTCAGACGGACGATTAGCAGGGGCTGTTACAGTGACCCTGGTGGATCCGGCGACGAAGATGACGAAGATGACGAAGATGATGAAGATGGTGAGGCGGACCAGGACGAAAGCGTGGGTAGAAACTGCGACCGGACCACGACCCAAGCGTTCTCAAAGTCGTTTTTGAAGGCTGAGTTGATGAAGCCCGAGAAAGGACATCATCAAAAAGGCGGTTGGACGGTTTCTGCTTTGTGAAGCGCTGCGTGATGCGTGGAAGAGTTGTTTTAGGCATGAGGACGGTGATGACAGCGAACCGCTGTGCTGCAGACAACGCGGTTGTACAGGGCTACAGACAACTAGAACTGTGACCGCTCCGCGTGTCTGTGTGTTGATTCTGTCAAAGTACTGGGACTATTTCGCGCTGATCTTTGTCACATCAATTGTGCAAAGAAACAAGCCTGTGCAGGGAGTGCCATGCGTGAGCTTTTCCTATGAAGGAGCATGCTCCTCCAGGGTTCTTTGTTTGGGTTCCGCGTTTCTGTCCAACAGTCAGATCACAGCTTCATTTACGGGCTTGGAAGACATGGGAAGAGTGCACCAAAGCGAGCGTGACAACTTCTGCGCCCGGCGATTTTAGTCAAAAAGGAAGCCACTATGTACAAACAAGTGTTGGGCTCTTCTTTTGCCAGGGCATGTGGATGGGTGGTTTGCTGACATGCAATCATTGGACTGAGTTTTCGGGTGTTGAGACAATGTGCGCGAGCCTTTTTGCAATTGCAATGTGCATGATCAGTTGGACCGCCTGGTGCAGCCCACGTATACTTGGATGCTACCTCAAATGCACGTGTGCCACTTTTCGTATGATGTTCGCCCCTGGCGAGTACACTTCACACATGGCATGGCGCTGTTTGCTTCAGGAGTTTCTCACCCAGGTTCTTAGTCTCTCTCTCTCTCTCTCTCTCTCTCTGGCTGCCAATGGGAGAGTTCCCAAACACGTCGCAGGCTTCTTCTCCTTGGAATCCTTCACTTGGGGTGACGTCTCATGGGACGGATGGATGTAGGGGAGGGCTTGACAGGGCCTGCGAGGGTCCAAGTGTCCAAGTACCGATGGACAAGACTCGTGCGGATAAGTGTTCCTTGTACAGTATATATACATATATATGTACATATGCTAACCCCCCCTTGAAATACTCAGGTTTTTGGCCGTAACTGGGTTTTTGGGCAGACTGGGGGTGACAAATGATTTGAGACTCTGAAATGAACTGACAGGACGCACAACTCCATGCAAATTTCAACCAAGCAGAAGTTAAGCTCAACGTTGAATAGGAGTTCCTATTTAAACAGCTCGAAAGTCACATTGGCGCGCCCGCGAGCGCACTTCAAGTCCCATTGGAGCATGCAAAGTGCACTTTGGCAGCTCCAGCTCAAAAAGCACAACTTTTCAGCACAAGAGTAGCGAAGCTGCTTTGGCAGCTTGAACGTGCCTAGTAGCTCTATTATTTGGCCGTGGTTTTTTTGGCGGGAAGTCCAGCAAATCATCAACTTGGGGAAAAGGAACTCACTCCTACTTGCAACTGACATCAACAATGAAATAGAAAGTGTCTCATGCCCTTGCGCAGTTCATTTGCATGTTAACTCAAGTGTTGTGCATAATTCCCTGTACATCTAATTCAGTCTGATGGAAACATTTTTTTGTAAAGCAACTATCTTAGTTGTGTGTTGCTTGTCTAATTTGGTTCAACCATCATCAAGAACAACTATTAATTTCCAACCATAGGCAATTCAAAACGCTTTCGAGCTCAAACCAAATTCGTGTTTAATCGCTTGGAGTGTCGCGCGTTTCTTAAGCTGTACAGGTTGCAAACAAACAGAGGGGTACGCTGTGGGCCCTGGTGTTTTCCATTTGACATGCTTGTTTTTGCAGACGTGCAAACAGCTTACTTCAAGGCAAACCAACTGACTCAACACCAATCCGCACCTCAACAGCTCCAAACATGTTAAAGAGTATAACCTTGATGTGATCATATCTGCAGGGTGTAGAATAAATAATATTTTAGGTACAAAGTTAAGAAAATGGGCAACACAAACATTAAAGCGACATATAACACAAGGATATACCATTAATCAATCAAAAGTTGAAACTGGCCCTAATCTTTTGACTGCCTGAGTGGCGTCCTTCCCTAGTTTATGTTCTTGTTGTGACTTAGAATCATTACATTTTTTAGTAGTTACTTTCCAGATGTAGTGTTTCATGCAGTGAGGAAAATGTACCAAAGACCATAAACATAGATATTTTGGGGAGTAAACGTACTATTGATTTGGCTATCGAAGCTGGTGCTGAATGTTCTTATGACCAACAAATCTTAGTTCTCAACTCTAGACCTCTTCTAGATCTAGTAGTTAACATTACATGTGCGTGAGGGTTACCATGATGTATAGAGAGCCGAAAACAACCTCGAAAAATCGGAAAGAAATGCAGAGTACATTACTGGTATACCTTGTCATCTCTCCTGTAACTTTGGTTTTTGTTTGTGTTTTCTTGATTTCTGGACGTTTTTGTTTTCCCGGTTCGAGGCTTCTAAGTGTCTAAGTGGGTAGAACCAAGCATCTCTCCTAGAACGATGTTTGTTTTTTCTGATTTCTCGAGGTGTTTTCTGTTTGGCGTTTCCAATCAGCCAAATCACATGAATTCATGACAAGAGCGCTTGGGTGCAAAAACCCGCGGCCCAGGGCGTACCCTTCTGCAAACACCCTGGCCAAATGCAGGCAGTGCAAGTGCACATCCACAATGTGATTATGTCAATGTGCACTTCCTGTCTGCTTTTTGGGTTCTCAATCCGCACTTAGGGCAATCCAGGATGTGGCACGTGCTAGAACATGCTGGGCTGAAGATTGAGGATTCTTGCAACTCTTTATGGAACTCTTCAAATGTGTTTTGTGGACTTGAGGGCTGGTTAGGATGGAAGATTCTCAAATACAAAATATGGTAGATCTTCAAACTTGAATGCAGGCGGCAAAGCTTTACTGAGTCGAGAACAAACTGTCAAGCTTTTGGGGGGCAAGGATTGAGGATGTGCAACACGATCTGAGCAATTGCTGAAAAGCGCCGCGTTTTACAGCATTTATCCCAACAATAAGGTCTACGTTTGAAAGCACTTGTCTGCCGTTGGCTTGGCTCAGTTCTTGCTTGGCTAAACCACGTGGACTTAGATCAGGACAGTCGCCGTTTTGAAATGGAGTTTGGTTCCAAGTTCATCCGGCCATGACAATAGCTATGTCCTCCCAGGATGTGCTAGCACATCCTGGATTGAATATTGAAGATTGAAGAATCCCAGATAGAGTTGTCGGGGAATCTTCAATCTTCAACCTTCAATCCAGGATGTGCTAGCGCGTGCTAGCTCATCCTGGATTGCACTAAGTACCGATGCAGGAATTTAATTCTAAAAAAGGAGTGCTGTTTTAGAGAAGCTGGAACGTGCGTTTTACCTCATTTTTACAGCAAAAATGTCAATTCCTGGCCAACAACCTGAGTATTCCAGGGGCATATATGCAATAATACTATATATGTGTATATCTACTAAGTAGTATTACATACATATATATATATAGTTTGTTTTCCCGAAAGCATTGCGAAGGGTTCTTTCGTGCGGAGCTCTTGGTCAACTTGCGCAGAGTAGCTTGCACAGAGTCACCAGCATGGAGATATCAGGAGCTCTTGGTCAACTTGCGCAGAGTAGCTTGCACAGAGTCACCAGCATGGAGATACCAGCATGGAGATACTCGCGCAGAGTTACTGGCGCAGAGTAGCTTGCGCAGAGTTACCAGCATGGAGATACTTGCGCAGAGTCACCAGCATGGAGATACCAGCACGGAGATACTTGCACAGAGTCACCAGCATGGAGAGCCAAGCGCATAGAGCCAAGTGCTCAGAGCGAAGTGCAAAGAGCGAGGTGCAAGGAGCCAAGTGCACAGAGCCAAGTGCAAAGAGCGAAGTGCATCGAGCCAGGCGCATAGAGCCAAGTGCATAGAGCTAGGTGCATAGAGCTAAGCTAAGCTAGGTGTAGAGGCTCGGATTTAGCAGCTGTGTAGGCTAGGTTAAGTAAGTTAGGTTAAGTACTTAACGCGCGGGAAAGAAAGAGAAAGAGCTCGGTATTAAGAATCTCTTTTACGGCGGGGGGTGGGGATGTTGCCGACGATCGGGAATGCGACCCTCTCCGGAGATCGGTGTGGTCGAGGTGCAAAAACTCGAGGTTTTTTTTGCGTTTTTTGATATTCCCGCGCGACCCTCTGCGGAGATAGGCGCGATCGAGGTGCAAAAACTCCAGGTTTTTTACGCTTTTTGATATTCCCGCGCGACCCTCTGCGGGGATCGGCGTGGTTGAGGTGCAAAAACTCAAGGCTTTTTGAGTTTTTTGCGGTGCCCGCGCGACCCTCTGCGGAGATCGGCGTGGTCGAGGTGCAAAAGCTCGATTTTTTTGGCGTTTTTGTCGGTGCCCGCGCAACCCTCTGCGGAGATCGGCGTGGTCGAGGTGCAAAAACTCAAGGTTTTTTGCGTTTTTGACTTTCCCGGATGAACCCTCTGCGGAGATCGTGCGTGTCGAAGCGCTCTCGCTGTGGCGCCGTGCGGGTTTGTTGCTCGCGAAATGGCCTTTGGAAGTTGTCTCGTGGTTGGCGCGCCTGCTTTCGCAATCCCGCGGTCGCGGGTTCGATTCCCCCCTGGTCCGCGGCAGCTCCGGCTTGAAAATCGCAGCTTTTTAAGCACAAACGTAGTACGCGGAGCGTTCTCCTGCAGCTCTGGCTGGAAAATCGCAACTTTTAAGTACAGATGCAGTATGCGGAGCGTGCTCCCGCAGCTCCGGCTGGAAAATCGCAACTTTTAAGTACACACGTAGTACGCGGAGCACACTCCCGCAGCTCCGGCTGGAAAATCGCAACTTTTAAGTAACATAGTACGCGACGTACATTCCCACAGCTCCGGTAGCACTTGCGCAGAGCAACTTGCGCAGAGTCGCTTGCGCAGAGCAACTTGCGCAGAGCAACTTGCACAGAGCACTTGCACAAAGCACTTGCGCAGAGCAACTTGTGCAGAGCAACGCTTGCACAGACCAACTTGCACAGAGCACATGCGCAAAGCGCTTGCACGGAGCAACTGGCCCAGAGCACTTGCGCAGAGCAACTTGCACAGAGCACTTGCGTGCAGCAGCTCGCAGAGAGCAACTTGCGCGCAGCAGCCTGGAACAATGCAGCTTGCGCAGACCACTTTCGTGAGAAATCGCGCGGCGCAGTTCGTGCAAAGCACATTGCGCCGAGCAGACTCGTGCAGAGCCAACTTGCACAGAGCCAGTTGCGCAGAGCCACTCGCGAAAAGTAGGTTGCGTAGAGCCAACTTTCACAGAGCCAAGCTGCGCAGAGCCATTTTGCACAGAGCTAAGTTGCGCGAGCGTGCTTTGCAGAAACTGTGGCCGTCGTGTAAGCTTTGCTATTGATTGCTTTTCCTTTTGCTTGCAATTCGTTTCGAGCTTTACGATCTTTACTCTTCTTGTTTTACGGATGTAAATATGTGGGATCGAGCACTGCCATGTTTCCTCTCGTAGGACGATGAGATGGATCTCTCATGTG